TGATTAAAGTAATAACTAAGTTCCTATAATCTACGTACACTACTGGACAATGAAATATCATATTTGAAAAAAGATCGTCACTTTCGCGCATCTGTAACTCCCTTGTCTTTGCCATATTTTTAAATATCAATATTACCATTGTGTAACCCTTGAAAAGAGCTTCCACAAAATGTATAACACTAATAGTTTAAACTCAAAGACAACGAAGTTACAGACGCGCGAAAGTGACGATCGTTTTTCAGATATGATATTTCATTGTCCAGTACTGTAGGTACCAAAATAGATAAATCTCATATTTTTCGAACAAATGACCAAATCAGAGGCGGTCTTGAGGCAAAAGCTGTTTAACTGCATCCAAACGCACGCTTTCTAGCCCATTGGCTTTCTAGCCCAATGGCTTTTCTTGTGCTACCTTTTCTTGTGCTCTAATCCAAGTCACTCCTCTGAATAACTTCCTTCTAAAGCTTATATCAAAAAGTATAACTGTTTAACTGCATCCAAACGCACGCTTTCTGGCCCATTAGTGGCTTTCCTTGTGCTACCAGGGTAATCCAAGTCACTCTTCTTTCTAAAGCTTATATCAAACTTCTCCTCTCCTTTTCTCCAAAAAAAGTTTTCTCTTTTCTCAGCTCTTAGCGCTTCTCTTTCAAATCTCTTTCGTTATTTCAGATCACTAAAACAAATAATATCGTTTTTCTTATTGAAGCCAAAATGTTCACACCTAATCTTTGAAGTGACCCACTCACGAATTCACCTTTTTTTCCCCTTGCGACTTTTTATGGACGAATTGAATTTTTTTTTGGCCCCTTCTGTGGTCTCGGGGAAAAATGGGGGTTTCCCCTTCAAAAAGACAGAAATGTTTGAAGCAATAGAAAGAAAATAAAAGAAAAGAGAGTGAAGGGGGTGTGGTCTTTTCAGTGAATTCACAGCCAAATGAGGGAACACTTTTTGGAGGGGGCAAGGGAGAATTCTGGATTGAGATCGCTGTGTTTTTACTGATTCGGCTATTCAGTGGAATTTTACGTTTTAATTGGCTTTGATGAGCAATTAGAGGACTTTGGCTTTTCGAACGGCTTTGGTTCATTGATGCAATTTGCTTTGCAACTCAAGCTCTTCATTGCATCTCACTCATTGACTATTTCAATCGATCGTCTTGATCATCTTGATCGTTAGTTTATTGGTGATCCTGTTTTGATTCTGTTTCTTGATTGATCTTCGGGATTTGATTGAAACTCCTGAATGACATTGACATTAAGAGTTGCAAGACTTGATAGAAAACACGATTTGATTTAAAAAGCTTGCCAAATAACCCAAAAACTAACCATTACATTAAATTCTTTCAAATTACAAGTCATTCGCACTTCAAAGCAGCAATTTGTATATGATTTTAAAAGGTTTAAAAGAGTTTAAAAGGTTTAAACTCAGAAATGAGCAACTCGAAAAAGTGAGCAACTCGAAATCCGTCTTTTCATCGATTTCCCCCTCATTTTCTCATTCGAATCCCAATCCCGCCTATCAGAATATCTCGTTGTCTTCTTGTCTTCTTCGATTTCTTTTCATTAATTTCTTCTTCTCGCGGTGTCCCCTTCACCTTCTTTTATTCATTTTTGATTACCGGAATTCAGAGGAAATTCAGAGAAAAATTCTCATTCCTTTGCCGAAATGATTCTCATCTAGGTCTGACAACAATTTCTTTTTAGCTTATGCTTTTTCGTACTGATGATAGATGAACTCTTGAACTGAATATCAGCTTATCCCTTATTCAAATATCAGCTTTGCTTTCAAGCTTTGCTTTCAAGCTTTCCCTTATTCAAATATCAGCTTTGCTTTCAAGCTTTCCCTATTCAAATATCAGCTTTGCTTTCAAGCTTTCCCTATTCAAATATCAGCTTTGCTTTCAAGCTTTCCTTATTCAAATGCCAGTTTTAACTCATTACCTGCAAAATTGACATAAGTACCTCAATTTCGTTCTCCAAATTTTCTAAAACAAAGCAAACAAAGCTGACAAAAATAACAATACCTGTTTACTCGATAGTCCACTTTGATCCTCGAAAAAATGAATAAAAAATTGTTTTCCATAGGCTTCTGCTCGATTGCACACGACATCGGAAGCTAATCCAAAAGGGAAAAAAAGGAGATTTTCCATAAAGTGTTTAGACAACAAAATAAGGAATTGAAAAAAGGATCAGAATCTGGTAGATTTATCAAGATGTTGAAGTTCTCAATTTGGGATTCATTTCAGGCATTTGAGGCATTTCAGTCCCTCAAGATCAAGATTTATCTTTATCTTAAAGATATCTTCAACAATATTCAACAATAAATCTACCCGATTTATCAAGATGTTCAAGGTATCTTTATCTTACTTTTGGCTTTGATTTTAAAGAAATTCTTAAAGAATCCAAGAATCCAGAATGTCTAGAATCCTGTCTGTTTCTTTTTCTTGTTTTCTACGGCTTATCCAGTTTGTCCAGCTCTCCAGCTATCCAGCTCAAAATTTGATTATTAACAAAATTATTAACAATATCTTTGTTAGCCAAAACGTTTCATGACTTTACACTTGCCATTCCATTTTCAAAATTTCATAACCAACCCAAACTTTTCGTAAAACATTGAGCCATTTTGAAGACTCATTTTTATTGGATTTATTTCCACCCTTCCTCACCACAATAAAACCTATATATTTCCCTCAATAAACCATCATCTCACGACTAAATTTCTCATAGTTTTTGCTAGGCGATCATTTTTTTTCGAACCCTTTTTCTCCATAAAGTGCCCGACTAATTTCAAATCGGATTATGGCCTTTTGGCGATTCAAGAGACCTCACGAAAAAATGATTGAGAATAAATGAGTGATTTTCGTCGTTTTTATTGCTCTGAAAGAAAACTATTTCTGGGCGGATTCGATCTTTTTCAGATTTTCTTTGAAAAGACGAAGAAATCGAGAGGATAATCCTCTCCCCTTTTAACGCCCTTTTCTTCCACACTCGATCTCCTTTTTCAAGGAAAAAAAAGAAGAATCGAGAGTGGAATTGAGAGTACTCCAAATTATTTTCTCGTTTAACATTTATGTTTGCTTTTTCTTACATCATTTTCTTGGATAATTGATTTCAAGGACAAGTTTTACTTTGTTAGCTGAAAATTTGCTTGAAATGTTTATTTCAAGCAGCCTAAGCCTAAGCCTAAGCCCAAACCCAAATAGATTTAGTGCTAGGCGCTAGCCGCTAGCCTTCGCACTAAGTCCAAGCCTAAGCTTGAATAACTGGCCGACTTGACTGGCTTTGTGCTCTGATAAACAAATCTGGCGTACCAATTTGAATGAAATTGAGAGTACAAGACTAGATTTAAAATCGAATGCCATAAAGTTCTATTTGAAATGTTTTCCATCCATCCACTCCATCCATCCAGGAACTAGCGCCTTCATTTCTTCTGCAGCTATGCATATTTGATTTTGAAAAGAAAACGACCAAGTTTACACAACTTTCTTGACACAAGATAGCTGATTTAAATCTTAGAATCAAAGAGATAGTTGTGATCTATTTAAACAATGCTTTAAACAACAACGATCTATTTAAACAATGCTAAGCATTCAATGAAGTTCTGAAATAGATACCAGTGGTTCTTATAAGCCAGCACTTGCATGAAGCCTTAAGCGAAAAGATTTCAAGCAAATTTTCAGCTAACAAAGTAAAACTTGACAAGCCCTATACAGTAAATCTAATAAAATTTTGATATACCGTAAATACTGTAATAGTACCCCACCCCCATAATGACGGTGCGGAGTGTTGCGTAGTCTAGCTTTGGACGAGTTTTTCTCGACACTGGTTTGTGCTACAATGCGCGCTTAGGTATCAAAAAATAGCCCTGAATTTCAGCTATTTTTTGATACTAAAGACGCATTTTTTGAAAGTACGGATGCTTTGAAAAAAATGAAATACTAAAAAACTTTTGCGACTACGCGACTGTACGAGGGGGTGGGGTACTATTAAAGTATTTACGGTAGGTATTAACAGTCATACTTTTGAAAGTACTTCATAATGACTTTATTTGACTTATGAAATGAGAAACATATTTTATCAAGCAAGATAAAGTCTAGATCTAGAAAATCTAGAAGAAAGATCTAGAGAGAGAAAAAGATCTAGGAACATACCCCTGATTGTCCGATCAACGACTAGGTCTGCAATGGATAACAACGATTTGAAATACTTCCAATCTTTTTCTTCCAATTCTTCCTTTCGACGAGTTCATAAAGGTGGCCATTTCCGTCCTCTTCTTTCCATTTCTTCAATTCCTTTTTATTTCTTGTTCCTTTTCTTGAAAATCCTTCATTTTATGTCCCCGTCTTTTATTTGCTCTTTCATTCAAACCACCTTGTCCATTGGGAGCTTTTTTTATGGCTTAATTTTGGGTAAACTTTGACTTTTGAATGGCGTTCTTTAGACTCTTAGGCGAAATCGGACTGATTTTAAAACTCATGACTACTTTTGTTTGCAAGATATGAGTCATCTAATTAATTTATGTTCTAAAGCTGCTCATTTTCGGTGTAATTGTCAATAGTTGTACAACAGAACGAGATTTGACCACTTCAATGGCTACTTTTTCATGACTTCTTGCCAAAAAAGATAGAATTTTTCAAGCTTTATCTTTTGCTTTGAAAAAAAGGTTAAAAAGTAGCCATTGAAGTGATCAAATCTTGTTCCGTACACCTATTGACAATCAGAAAATGACTCGCATGACAGAAATGACATGAAGAATGACAGAAAATGAACAGCTTTAATCTGTACTCGTAAACGATCCTTTGCTTCTTGTTCTTCTGCTGGTTCTGCAGGTTATTGATTACGCACACGTTTTTTTTATTGTATTGTTTTAAGAAGTGTTCCTTTCTTTTTCTTTACTGACTTTTTATGAACTCTTTTTTTAAGTCTAATAGTAAAATGATTTGAAATTTAGCGTCGCGCCGCGCTTATCTCGAGGAGGGCACAGGCTGTGTGGGGGTTCGCCCGATGCCGATGTGGCCCCGTGCCCTCGTTTACACAAAAGAGCTCAAAAAAGAAGAAAAACAGACAATAAAAGAAAAGCGAATAAATCAACAGTCATTTCACACTGAAATCCTCCTCTCTTCATTTCTTCTCTTCCTCTCCACTTTTCCAATTTACGTCAATGGATCCGGTGTCCGACAGGTGAGTGGGGCATTCTTTTGAGAGCTTGTTCAACAATTAAACTACATTTTTAATTAAAAGCTATTCAATGAAAATTTTTAAATTTTTGGGACAATCTGGGTATGTTCCTAGATCTTTTTCTCTTTAATATTTAAATTTTAGGTCCTTGTACCCGGGCAGATTGTACTCGGTGGACTCTTTCCGATTCACGAAGCCGGAAGGAATGGAACTGGTTGTGGAAGGATTAAGGTTAGTAATTGGAAAACTTTAAATGCAGAAATCTATCAAATCTTATCAGAAATAAATCGATTTGAAATTTTCAGGCTGAACAAGGCTTGCAACGAATGGCGGCCATGTTGTACGCGGTTGAAGATATCAATCGAAGGAGAGAGATCCTGCCAGCCGCTTCTATTGGAGCACAGATCCTCGACACGTGGTAAGGCTTGTAAAACAATATTGTAAAGATATTGTAAAGATATTGTAATATATTGTATATTGTAAAATTTATTGGTAAGAGAGGATCTCTTTTTGAGTCTCATCTCAAAAGCTTGTGCTACCGGTTCTCAACCGCCTAGGTATCTCACAAAGCTCAGTATCCGCTCAAATTGCTTTTTAAAGGATTACTCAATCACTTAGAACCAAAACCAAACTAAAAGCTAACTCAATTTTATTTCCACTTTTCGTTGACCTTTCTATTCTCCATCTCATCTAGACTTCTGTAAACTCTCAAGTCCAAAACAGATCCAAATCCCCTTGAGTCCACCTCTCCATCCATTCTTCTCTATTTTCAGCCATTTTTCCACATTCAACAGGTTCTTTCTTCAATTTCTCCTCAATCGGATGGACGAGAGAAAAGAGAAAAAGGAAAAGGGGCAAGGACGATGTGCTAATGCACATAATGCGTTTAGGGCCAAAGCTTTTCCCCTTTTCCCCACAAAACCTTTCCTTTTTTTCTTCTCTGAAAGTCTCTTCTGTTGGAATTCGACAAGAAAAACCCCCACACGCTGAATTGCTCGAATTATCGGCCTCGAGAATCTCAATTTGCACAAAATCATTCAGGGGTTTTGCAAGAAGTCAAAAGTTGATAACTTTGAGATGATTTTACCGTCACACACAAGGTGCTCATTCACCATAAATTAACATTAGTAAGACAAATTTGCATAACTGGTAGATAGTAGACTTGGTCTAGTAGATAATTACGCAAGTCGAGAGTGCAGATTAACTCTGACAGATCCCGGCTATATCCAGTTTATATCATTATCTTAACATAAATCCTTTACCCTTCATAGATTCCTTCCACGATTTCCGTCTTTTCGACTGCCTAGTCCAATAGGCGGAATTAATCTCAACAAGAAAAAGTTGAGCCCAAAAATAAAATCTCTAAGATCCGGTTTACTTTACTAACTCTTACGTCACTTCTTCAACTTCAACTTTCATATGTACATTCTTCAATTGAAAGTACATTCTGAAAGTGCATTCTTCAATTGAAAGTACATTCTTCAATTGAAAGTACATTCTTCAACTCCCCAAGTTCAACCCAAACTTTCAAAATTCAAAGTGAAACGAAAACATGAACTTTTGAAGAAAAGCACACCATTTGGGGATGTTTTTTTTCTTTCAAAGTTTGCTTCAATCAAAGCACTCTTTTTGTGTGCAGTGGATGGGTGAATGGTCGACTAATTGGGAAGAATGGGAATCTAAAGAGAAAAAGAGTTTAGGAGGAAAAAAAGCAAGTTTTTCAGCTAGAGTCCCGAGATATCCCTGAAGCGAGAAAATAGCTTGAAATCCGAGCTCAAACTTTGAGGGATGCTGGAGTTTGAGGGTAAACAAACTATTACTTGGATTAAACTTTGAAACCATATCTTAAATGTCTTACTGTTGCTAGAAGGCTAAAATACAGTGGCTATTTGATCTGGTTTTCGGTTCGAATCTCTAAATGAGGATGTAGAATTTGGATCAACAATAGGAACAAATTTAAGGCAAAATTGATCCCAAAAATTTGGGCATAGTGACCCGAAAAAGAAAATCGCTAACCTTTACTTTCCACTTACGACTTCCAAAAGGAAAGTCTCTTATGCCAGAAGGGTTTGCCAGAAAGCGAGCGATTGCACAAAGAACACCTGACCAGCCATTTACATCGGGATTTCTTTTGCTTTGATGATACAAAAAGTAGATACCGTATTTTCTCTAATAGTAGTGCACCCTGAGCGTCGCCTAAATTTCTCGAAATCTCGAGAACCGCTTATCAGAACCTATCGATGTGGGATCGGAAAATGGAGCTGACGATGAGATCTAGTGGGGGATTTGAGTGTTGAGCTTCTGTGAAAACTTTGGAAGCCGTAAATAGTGACCAACTCGGCTCGCTTGGGTGCACTACTATTAGAGAAAATACGGTATTTGTAGCCGGGGGTTTACAGAGTCGCCGAATCGATTGGAGATACTCATTTTATTAAATATCAGAATCATTCTGTCGCTGTTCAAATCCCTGGCTTTCACATCGGAATTTGGTTTCAACTTAAAGACTTTTCAGCTCCTGGATGCAGCTTTTCTATTAAAAAGTGTTTTCAGTAAATCCGATTCAACCCAGGCACCTTTGAATTATCAATTATTCTTTTATTGTTAGATTATTTGCATAATAATCGAAAATGAAAAATAAAGAAGACTCAACTCTTCCTCCTTTTTATCCATTGTTTGACTCCAATGTGACTAATGGAACTGCATCGAGGCCATCCACCTGAAAACAGCTCAGAGAGGGGAAAAAGAAGAACACTTTGCATGCCGAAATGGGAAATGCTAAATTTTTGCTAAATCTATTGCAAAATCAATAGAATATGGAAAGGAAACAAGGAACTTGAAACTTTATTTAAACTAATCTGCTTTCATTCAAATACCAAAAACTTTGGAATTAAAGGAAATAGACTAAAGAATGTATTAACAAATATTCAGCTCGGTTGACAGCTATGCCTTGGAGCAAACGTTGGAGTTCATCCGGGGTGCAATGTCCCACGGAAGTGAGGTCGAGTGTCTTGATGGATCCCAGGTGCCATTTTTAGCAATTAATCATAAATTTAAATAGATAATTGAATTAAGATCTAGTCCTATTTCAAAAGATTAATATATTCCAAAACGTGATTCCATCCCTGAGCATGACCATCGTTATATCGAGAGTCGACTATACACTTCTATGTACTTCCAGGCCACCTACAAAAAGCAAGCCGTGGCGGCGGTGATTGGCGCTGCGAGCAGTCAAGTCTCGGTCATGGTCGCCTCAATGCTTCAATTGTTTAAGGTAGAAAATATTTCTAATTCTTAAATTGTTCATTCAGATTCCACAAGTCAGCTATTCATCGACAGGAGCCGAACTCTCGGAGAAATCCCGTTTCGTTTACTTTTCTCGCGTCGTTCCACCCGATAATCTTCAAGCGACGGTGATGGCAAAAGTGGTCAGTTAACTTAGAAAGATAAAAGATAAGTTTTTAAAAAATATTATTTAGAATTTTTGATAACCTGTGTTTTTCTAGATCAAGGAGCTTGAATGGACGTATGTGCACGCGATTGCAGATACTGGATCGTATGGAGAACGGGGAATGGACTCGTTTAGGTAAACAAGGAAAAAGTACAAATGAAAGTGCAGCTGAAAGTACAGCTGAAAGTACAACTGAAAGTATAGCTGAAAGTATAGCTGAAAGTATAGCTGAAAGTATAGCTGAAAGTACAACTGAAAGTACAGCTGAAAGTACAACTGTAAGCACAGCTGCAAGTACAACTGAAAGTACAGCTGAAAGTACAACTGAAAAGTCATTTTTGTAAACTTTAAAGGCTTGTTTATTATTTTAACGAAAAGACCAAGATGAGCAAAGTGTTGGACTTCAATTTTAGAGCTGCCGCCACTGAATTGGGCATTTGTATCGACGGAGATGTGCACAAGATAAGCAGACGATGGAATGAGAAAAATTTCAAGTAATGCGTTTAAATTTTAGTATGTGAAGCGTTAATTTATAGAATAAATCTATGATCAATTTAGAGATCTAATCTGGCGAATGTATCGAACACAGAAAGCACGTGGGGTCGTCATGTTTGTCGATGAGGACAATTTGAAGGTGGGAATTCATTGGTACTCAATGAAATCCGTTCTGTTTCTCGTGAGTGACTTGATCGAACTTTTCGAATCCAGAAGAGATCAGGAGCTTCCTGAACAAGAATTTGCTTTGGATTTAAAAGTTATAGATAGATTTGCAAGCTCGATAATCGATGTTCGACTGCAAGTTCGACTTTCTTGACCTTCACTTATTAGATTCATGATCCTTTTGAGCTTAATCTCTCACCAATTGTCTTTACTGATTGCATGGATGATTTTGGGTCGATGAAATCCGTTGAAAGTTGTCGCTAATCCGTTTGCGTAGGCTCCCATATCTGGGTAAAGGACCCAATCACCTTCATTCATTCGCTCTTTCTCAATGGCTTCCTAAAGAACAAATCTTTTTAGGGATACGGTAGATATCTTACTATTGAAAAGTACTGTACGGCTGTAACTTTACTACAAGTTCTAAAGCTTGTTTTTCATTTCTATTTCGTCGAATCTCTTTTCGTTCTTTTTTGTATCTCTATTTAAAACGAACAATTGCATCAATTGAACTACTAATCAACTACGGTTTATTTCACTATAAATGCCAATTATCCCACCTCAACCACATCAACACTTGCACAAGTCGGTCCCCAAACAATCGATGTCAGCTTTTCAGCATCTTTTCTTGGCTAAATCTTTTGTTATTCATTCCTTAACCACACAAACCCTCAATGCCAATCCTTCAACATAAATCTTTTCCGTGGCTGCTAGCATGAATGATCCATAAATCCCATCGTTCAAAAAATACATGATCCCTCTTTTATTAGCGTCTTCTTCTGAGTTCATATTGCTTGGTAATTTCAACTTTTAAAACCTTTCTTTGTGATCCGATCAGCTGGAACTTCAATAGCATTGATAATGTTAGCACATAGAGAAAAGGAGCCTTCACAGAAAAATCTAAAGCTGTTATTTGAATGGTACTGAAATTAGGCTTACTGTCCAGGTTCGGAAATGATTTTCACTGATGATAGATCGGAGAAATGATTGTCCAAAGCTTCATTGATTATGTTAGCGATCTGAAAAACAAAAAAAGTAGAACTTTACGATTGCTATTTGTTTATTAGCTGCACTTTATTACTAGCTGTCGCTGAACGACGTATTGTCGCCGTAGCGCAGTCAGGAGCGTGCTTTTCTACGACCGTAGAGGCACTCAACGTTGTTTTTTTTGATTTGAAATGGTAGAACCATATTATATTTGAAGAGTTTTTAAAAAGATTGAGTTTTTCGCCCAAAGATGGCTGAGAAAAAGCCTTTACAGACGGACAGACAGCTCTTTTATATAGTAGATTGAACCTCTCACCTTGAAGAACCTGTTATTGTCAATTTCTCTTCCCGGATATCCTCCTCCAATATCCAATAGCCACATTGAATGTCCGATCTCTGATCCAAATCGGAAAAGATCTCGAGCATATTGAATCGCTTTTCCATAAACAGAGGCATCCTTGCAACCGACGCCGACATGGAAACTGAGATCGTTAAATTCATCGTTAAACTTCTTTTCCAAGGGAATAGTGAAAGAATAGGGTGAAAGCTATGTTTTATTTTACTAAACCTGATCCCATGCACGTTCATCGATAGCTTTTTTGCTTCTTCCAAAAGCTTGGGGGCGATTGTCTCTGGATCAGCTCCAAATTTTCTTCCGAACACTGTACTTGCGGTCGGATCTTGGACAAGAATTCGGAGAACAATGCTAAATAAATAGCATACACAAGTTTAGCTTTTTTCTAGAATTTAAACGGTATTCAATCAGGCAAGCCTCAAAACTCACCTAGCTTCGGGGAAGATTTGATGAATTTTCTGTAGTTCTTCCAGTGAATCAAATGTCATCAGCTTTACATCTTTTTCTTTTGAGTACTGTAATTTAAGTTATGAGTCAATAGAGTTTAGAGTTTATACTAGTCAGCTAACTAGTCAGCTCGATAATTAGAGAAACCCACCTTAATATAAGACCTTGGCTTGCTCGGGTTCGCATAGATTATCTTCTCCGGTTCAATACCGAGATCCAATATCTAAACTTATTAGTTTATTGGATTTAGTTTTGAGCTAGATTGTTTATTGGTTTGTTGTGTGTTTGTTCGTATGTTTGTTTGTTTGTTTGTTTGTTTGTTTGTCCGTTTGTTTGTCCGTTTATTTGTCCGTTTGTTTGTCCGTTTGTTTGTTGTTTGTTTGTATGTTTGTTTGTATGTTTGTTGTTTGTTTGTTTGTCCATTTGTTTGTTGTTTATTTGTCCGTTTGTTTATTTGTCCGTTTGTTTATTTGTTTGTTTGTTTATTTGTTCCTTGTTGTTTGTTTTATTGTTGTTATGCTTTGTTTTTTTGTTTTTCTTTTGTTCTTTGTTTATTTATTTCTTTGTTATGTTTTATCCGAAAAGCTATTAAAAACATCAAAACTAACAACATCAATCTCCGTTTTCGAAGCGCAATCAAATCCACAACCAAGAGCGGCCAAAGTCCGGATCACAACGGGATCTGGGTGACATTTTATTGCAAAGAATGGCTAAATTTGAGCAAAAACCATTTGAAATGTTCTAATTTGAATAAAATCCATTAACAATAACAGCAAACTGACCTGAACACTTGGCAAAAGCTTCATCCACAAGTTGAAGCGATGAATCACATTGTCGACACTGCACACCATGAAAGCCTCATCCGAACTCTACAATTTTCAACTTTTAACATCTGCTATTTGCTTTCATCTTAATTTCAATCTAATCTATCATTCTTAAATCCTATTCTCAAGCTTTTCCTTCATTTCACTCACTACTTGATCCCTGTCTTTCGCGAATTTTTCGACTAAATCTGACTGCAAGTAGATTTGATCAAAGAGATGCAGCTAAATCTTGATATTGATATTAAATGAATATTTAAAAGCTTAAATACCTGAAAATTTTTTAAATTGAGTGTAGAAACTTCAAGCATTTTGAGCAGAATACTAAAAAAATCTTGTTGTTAGCCACTGTTCATTTGAGGGCTGTTGAATGGGAAGTGATAAGGTGGAAACAAAGAAACAATTAGACAATCAAGTCGAATAAAGGATTTGTGTCTTTCTTTGAGCAATAAAGAATAAAGAATGCTAATTTTAGCGACTACTTTATTGGTTGGAGCGAATGATCGAAGTGGAAGGATACCGGGAATTGGATAAGTACTTTTGGTGAGCTTTGAATTGAATCAGCTTTGTCATTAGAATCAAAGACTAATGCAAATGAGTCTAGATTCATAGCTTTAAAGCAACAAAGCTAAGCAACAAAGCTAAGCAACAAAGCTAAGCAACAAAGCTAAGCAACAAAGCTAAGCAACAAAGCCTAAGCCTAAGCAACAAAGCTTTAAAGCCTTCAGGCTTTAACAAAAAGTTCAATTTTCAAGGTTTGTTGCCTCCGATTCGTGGGGAGTGAAGAGCTCAGTGGTGCACGGATTGACGCATCGAACAGCTGGATCGCTCACCATTGCTCCACACGTTCGAAATGTGTCCGGTAAGACTTTAAACATCTACTAGATACAACTAGATCTACTATATACAACCAGATCTACTAGATACAACTAGATATATCAACATCTACTTTTCTGGTTCAAAAATAAATCCTAATTCATTTACACGCTTTTCAGCTTTCAATGATTACTTCCAAAAGCTTCGTCCAACGAACACTTTCCTAGAGGAATATTGGGACTTCTTGAAGTGTAAAGAGCAACGGGTAAGCAGGAAAAAAAGTAGCCAAAAGATTTTCTTGATGAAATCTTTTCTTGATGAAAGTTTTCAGAATGTGGAGACTTTCGGTGAGTGTATGGCGGCGATCAATATGACATTCAAACAAGAGGCTTTCGTTCCATTTGTGGTGGATGCGGTCAAAGTAGTGGCACATGCAATCAATGCATACATAAAGGTATTGAAAAGTTGGATAGCCGATGTTGCTGATGAAAAGATATATTGCTAATTTAGGCTGAATGTGGGCTGGTCCCGTTTCACAAGTGTGTTTTATCAACAACGGGATTCAATGGAGATCGACTGCAAAGCTACTATCGGAATGTCTCATTTACACGTTGGTTTACAAGGGTTTTGAATTTTTTGTGTTTTGAACTTGCTAGTTTGTGTGTTTTTAAAGTAAAACCTGAAAGTTGATTATTTTAATTTATTTTAAAGTTCTTTTAAGATTTCGAGCCACCAATGATCGACGCAAACGGTGATGGAATTGGGCGATATGATGTGTTTCAAGTTGACGAGATGGGAGTCTATCAAAGGGTAAGGATTTATAGAAAACAGCAGTTAACCTCCAGCTAAACGCCGGGGGTTAACTGCTGATCGATTTGCATAGTTTACATGAGTCAAACTAGCGGATTTTATAAATGATACATTGCTCTCGTGTATTTAAATCCGAGTGAATAGCGTCAATTTTTTTATTGATAAGTCTGGACTGAGTTTTCATGATCGAGCACTCTTTTTTAGCTTGCTCTTGATGGGCAAGAAATAGGGTGGATTAGAGAATCCACTTTCACTGGACCTCAGTCAAGAAAGAATTAAGTCTAACCAGAGTGAAACCGAAATTCATTTTTTAAAGTCCTTTAATCTCGCCGCCAAATCCGGTTTTTTCAACTTTTCTCAAAAATGGGTTTAGGTTTTTCAAATCTGATTTGACAGGCTAAACCGCCGTAGTGATTACATATTCTCCCAAAAAATCAGACCGAAATTCCTACTGAGACTCGGGTTATGAAGTGAATGGACACACACAACCACAAAAACTTTGCGTCTTATAATAAGTAAGATTCTTTCAAAAGTAATACATCTATTTCAGGTTGGAAAATGGCGATCAACAGAAGGATTGAAGGTCTCTGTGGATACGATCAGAGCTGGTTTCCGGAGTAGTGTCATCCCGATTTCCGTGTGCTCTCTCGATTGTCCTCGGGGATGGGTAAAGGATTTTTTTGGTTGATTTGTTAACTTACTCTTTATCTAATTATAATTCACACCTAATATAATTTTCAGTATCGAGTCTATCAAGATCAGACATGTTGTTGGGCGTGTGTTCCGTGTGATATGGCCACTTCAATTGTTGTTAATGTCACAATGTAAGTCTTGAATCCAGCAAGTGAGCCAATACCTCTGAAGACTGAAGCTTCAGAGGTATTGGCTCACTTGCTGAATTCAGTATTTAGTCTCATTACATTCCAGTGCTGATAGAAGAGACTTTTCGTTTTGTCTAATTATTTTTGCAATTCAACGAACAATTCTAGATGTACCGAGTGTCCATTAGGCCAAGTTCCAAACGCGGAATTGACAACTTGCCGTCCCATTCCTCCAGTCTCACTCAAATGGGACTCAATGTGGGCCGTTCTGCCAGCAGCTTTCTCTTCACTTGGTATTCGATTACCATTTTCTTTTCCAATCAATTTTTCAAGGTCTCTCAGCCACAATATTTGTTGTCTCGGTCTTCCTCAAATACAGCAACACACCAGTGGTTTGTGATGAAAGGGATTGCTCGTGTAATCTTTCTTTAGATCATGGCCTCTGGTCGTGAGTTGTGCTACTGTATGCTATCGGGGATCGCTCTCTGCTATGTTCTCACTTTTTTCCTTGTTTCTCAGGTAAAGCCAGAAATGATATTGACTGAGTTGTAAGGAAGAGACCTTTTGTTAGCTTTAAAAAAAACATCTATTCACACGAATAAATAGGTACAAACAATACACAAGCACAACTTCTAGCACTCAACCCCTAACTAGAGAAAGGCACAAACTGTGCCTTTCTCTAGTTAAAATGTGAGCTTTTCTCTAGACACCTAGTGCACTTTATAGAATCGGATATGCTGTTGCTTTGAAAGAAAAACAAAAACAAAAATCTGCATCAGGAACCGAACTTGATCCTGTGGAGGAAAGAGTATTGCCTTATCCACTAGAGAGTTATTCACTAGATCACCAACGTTCTTTTTTCCGGCTAGGATGGAGCCTTTTAAAGCCTCCGTTTTAGCACCAGATTTTCGATTTGAGTTTTACACGCCTGGAAAGTCATTTGGCAGATTTTGATTTCAGTTTCGGATTCCTCATACTCGATTCTATAAAGTCGTCCAGACAAAAGAACAAAGACTAAAGCTCATCTTGAGTTCGTGCTTTTCCCTAGTAAGCCCTAAATATAGGAAAAAAACCCATACATCTGGAAAAAAAAACAAATAATCTAACCGGCTAGATTGAACGCTTGACCTCTCGACTAAGATACAGGGCTCTTGGGCCAGTCCTCCATGGCGGACTGTTGGTTATTATTAGAATAACAGCAATCAAACAAATCCCATTTGCAGCCATCAGCGGGTGTTTGTGCTTCATCTCGGGTTTTAATCGGTCTCTCCATGTCAGCCATTTACGCGGCAATCATCACAAAAACGAATCGCTTGGCGCGGGTTTTCTCGCCGGCAAGCGCTCAACGACCTCGCTTTATCACGCCTAGAGCTCAAGTTGGTGTCAAAATAAAGTTCAATAATCAATATTGTTTAGGTTATAATTTGTATGTGCATTGTGTCTGTGCAATTGTTTGGATCACTTGTTTGGTTGATGGTCGATCCGCCAGGAACCACGGTCATGTATCCATCTAGAACCGAAGCGGTATTGACGTGCAAGGTTGGTGCAAGCTAAATACTCTAATAGAACGCCGTACAGTCGCGTATTCTAACTTCTTTTTAGAAAATCATTTATCTCAACTACACTTTTCGAAGTACCAAAGAATACTAGATTTCAAGGGTTATCATTTGATACCAAAGCGCACACTGTAGCTTAAAGCAGCGCGGAGAACGAGACGTTCAAAGTTAGACTACGCGACTATACGCCCGTTATTATGGGGAAGATCCAAAAAATCTAGGCGACAACCACGCAGCTACTCGTCTCTCTCGCCTACAATTTACTCTTGATCATCGCTTGTACAATTTATGCATTCAAAACTAGAAAGATCCCTGAAAACTTCAACGAAACGAGATTGATCGGATTCACCATGTACAGCACAAGCATTTTGTGGCTTTCTTTTGGTATGTCCTTTTGCAGAAGGTTATCGGACATTTGAAGTGCTCCACCCCTTTTCCCCATCAGCAATCTAACTTTAAGCTCAAATATCTTGGTGTTGGGCTGTTCAATCTATATATTCTTGTGATCACTAGATACTCCAAGTCTTTCTCTATCGATTGGTACAAAAAACTATTTAAATTGAAAAGCCCAACACCAAGAGATTTGAGCTTAAAGTTAGATTGCCAATGGCAAAGGGGGCGGGGCGCGTATCAAATGTCCCACAATGTCTGCAGAAAGCTTTCCAAGCCAAAAATTTCAGCTCCAATCTATTTCGCCACACAGAACAACTTCAGGGTGAGTTTAAAGTTTGATTTTCTGTAAACATAATCTTTAAACACTTTCTACAGGTGCAATCTATACTTTATCTTGTATTTTAGATCCAAATCACCTCGTTGTGCATGTGTATATCGATGTCGGGAACGGTGGCGTTGGCTTGTTTCTTTGCACCAAAGGTATCGTTACTTGTTTTTCATTAGCTTTCCATTTAACTAGTCAAGTTAAATCTAATCCATTTAGAATTTTAATAAATTATAAGATAAAATTGGATATGTTACGTTCGTTATTGAATCTTCCAATCTATATTTCAACAATTTCCAAACATTACTACTAAATCCTCGCATTTTTCGTTTGGTCATTGAGCATTCATCATCAAACTTCAAAGTTTATTGGTAACAAATGATCCGAAAATGTAAATAATCGAAAACAAACATAAGCACAACTTATAAAAACTTAAATAAAAAAGGAAAAGTTAGCTATGATTCAAATTATGAATAGAAATTGAAATTATACTTGATAACTTGCAAAAATCATACAGTCATGGACAAAAGTCTTGGCGGGTCCTGGGTGGCAACTTTCAAACGCAAATTTAGGAACCTTCCCGAGAGGCTATAAAAAAGTTGTCACAAGTATTTTTGAGCATTTTTACTCTACTTTTAGCTATGACCAAGCATTGAACTCGAAAGTTTATTTTAGACAACAAAAATAAGCGTCAAAGACAAAAAGGTCACAAAAACAATGGACAAAAATCTTGGCGGCACATACATAGAGGCGAAAAATTCAATATTTTGTAGGTCCGCCTTTAGCTGCAATGACCGCTTTGAGCCTCCGGGGCATACTGTGAACTAGATCGCGTAAAATTTGTGGCGCAATGGTCGCTCAAACTCGCCGTACGAAGTACTCCATACAGCCCCGATTTGAATGTTATTGTGAACCAACCTATGTGCGTTATCAGACGAAAAAAACTCCAGGGAGAACGGTTCGGCTCGTACTTCGTACGGCGAGTTTGAGCGACCATTGCGCCACAAATTTTACGCGATCTAGTTCACAGTATGCCCCGGAGGCTCAAAGCGGTCATTGCAGCTAAAGGCGGACCTACAAAATATTGAATTTTTCGCCTCTATGTATGTGCCGCCAAGACTTTTGTCCATTGTTTTTGTGACCTTTTTGTCTTTGACACTTATTTTTGTTGTCTAAAATAAACTTTCGAGTTCAATGCTTGGTCATAGCTAAAAGTAGAGTAAAAATGCTCAAAAATACTTGTGACAACTTTTTTATAGCCTCTCGGGAAGGTTCCTAAATTTGCGTTTGAAAGTTGCCACCCAGGACCCGCCAAGACTTTTGTCCATGACTGTAGATCATTACAAAAAAATCGTCATAGTGTAGGTTGGACGATTCAGAATCGGACGTCCGTTATTGAATAGATTCAATAACGGACGTAACAAATATACTTTTTGACTTTAAACTTGTGAGTTTACCCGTTTTCAGGTCTACATCGTACTCTTCCAACCATACAAAAACGTGCGAACGAGGAATTCGGCGGTTGGCCGGCTCGTCAATCAACAGATGCGATTCATTAGGTAATATTTGAACCATTTATAACTATAGCTGATTTACAAAGCTTTTAGATTCTAGTTTGTTAGATACTTAGATACTGTTAGAAAACCTAAACCACCAACTTTTTCAATACAGTCCAAACAAGCGCCGAAAAAAGCATGATCGAGAGCAGTTCGGTCAGTAGGAATGACAAGGGAAATCCCAATTTTATAAAGATTTTTTTTTATTTTCAACAAGTTCATACTTTGATTGAATGTTTCAAATGGTTCAATTACCCAAATGTTGAATGATTAGATCAAAATGAGACGAATGTTAGTAGCACTTTCATGAAAGCAATCATTTCAATCCCGGAGATGACCAGAATCCCTTGAAACTCACGGATTGTTATCATATATTGAGCAATGAACGGCATGATCTCCCCCAAACACATTTTGCAGCCAATTGACCACGCATGGAGAGGATCCCCGTCAAACAGCCACCTCCACAACATCCACAAAGGCAACCGTCGTCCTCTCACAGTCATATCGACCACCCGATTGTTTGTTTTTTCTTCTTTTTTCTCATCCGTTTTCAGATTGTTTATCTTTTTTTGCTATATTGTAGTTTACAATTTGAATGATTCATCATTCTTTCCAGCCGAGGAGAGCTCTGCGCAGAGCCTCCTCCGATCTCAGCACCTTCGCGCCAATTCCGTTGAGGGCTTGCACAAAAGGAGAACAATCTCTGATACGGGTTTGGCAGTTTTTTTTCTAGAGAAAATAAAGCGATTTTTTAGGTAAAAGACCATCAACGGAGGATCTCCGGAAAGCGAACGGAGATAAAGAGCGACGATTCAGTAAATCCGTACGAGTGACGAAAGAAGGCATGGAGAGGCTGAGACAGAGCATTCGATTCAGGTATAATTGATTGTATCAATTGTAAAATGTTAATGGTGGTAAACCTTAGCTGACTTGGCTTATTGCAGTTTACTGACTGCAGGTATTAGATTGTCCAGAAAGTCTTTTTGTTCCTTTTCATATTTCCCTTTGAAAATAATAAATTCACCAATTAAACTATGGTTTTCTCTAAACAAAAAGTGTTTATTGTTCAATTTCCCATCTTTTTAAGTCAATTTTGGTTCACTTTCAAGTAAATTCGAAAGTGAAAGCACGTGTTTTTCGTAAAAATCTATAAAAACCTCTACGAAAAGATTGGCTGGATGAATTTCTTTGAAAATTTGGCTGTATACCTAACTTTTTGTGCTCTATCTTTTATCTATTGACATCAAGATAGATTTCCTTAGCTAAAGTGTCTAAATCGCATCATCGAGCCGTTCTTTTTGACTACCCGACTTCACGCTCCCAAAAAAAATCCAGAAATAAGACATTTTAAACCCGTTTTAATGCTATTTTGCAGAAAAATCATTGGCCTTTCTAATGAAATAAACCGTAGTTCAATTGGTGCATTTGTTGGTTTTAAACAGAAGTACGAAAAGGAATTGAAGGTTTTTCTGGGCAGCATAATAGTACAAATAACAAGTGGTCAAGTGCCAGGGCTAAACCTTGAAAATTTTTTCCAACCCTAACTTTACGGTAGTTTAAAATCGTTACAGTAAATTTTTCTCTTTTAATGTATATATTTATGACTAGTATGTTCAAGCAATGTTCATTTTTAGACCATCCAACTTGCGCAAATCGAAAAAAGAGCGAAAAGGGTCATCAAAAGAAGAACGAGATCCCTTACCTTCTACTAAGGTAAATTTCATAGATTTCTATTGATTTTATGATTTTTAAAGATCCCATAATCTTCCATTTTTATGGAAATATCAGGTATCGATTGTTTTTCTCTTTAGTGAGCTGTGAAAACCCGTTGTGTGCACGAAAAGAGATTAGGGGTTTAATTGGAGTTGAAATAAATGACAATGGATATTTAGCTTGAAAATAGCTTTGGAAACTAGGCTGTTGTCATTTATTTGTGTAGCTAAAGGGATATTAATTTGTTATTTAGGTCGGAAATTCGTCAACTTTTGTCCCATCGAGTAAATCGTTTTCCCACCGGGATGAGCTCAACGGGACACCGCCGGTCATTCACAAAAGGGTGAGTGGGATTTGTGGTGAATCAAAATTGCAGACAAGAATTAGAGAAAAACAGAAAAGACATATTTATTACGTTAAAACTTATCTAAACTTTTCAGCCTTTTTGTTCAAAACTTGCATACCGTATTTCTTCGAATAGAAGATCGGGTAAAGAGTATCATCGCGGACTCCTGCGTAGCAGCCCTTTTTAAAATTTCTTTTCTGCATAAAAGCTTTCAATGAAGTGCTATAGGGCTGGAAAATGACTCAAAAATACCACATGAGCTAACAGATTTTTGAGCCATTTTCCAGCTCTATAGCACTTGATTGAAAGCTTTTATGCAGAAAAGAAATTTTAAAAAGGGCTGCTACGCAGGAGTACGCGATGATACTCTTTACCCGGTCTTCTATTCGAAGAAATACGGTATGCTTCGTTCCTAGTCTTTCTTTTTTAGATACAGCTCAAAGAAATCGATGAACCGGGACCAAGTCAAGCTTAAAATCAGTAGCTTTTTCTCGAAAAATACTCACTCTTTGTAGGCAACTAACTTTTAGTGCTTTAGAATGTTTCAGTTAAGAAAATTGAAAAGGATAACCTCAAAATTTGTTCATTTCAGTCTCTGGGCAGCGGTTTACCAAAAAGCTACGGTTCGGCGGGTGTTCCATTGATGGGTCGAGACGAAGATTCGGTTGGTGAGAGGGTTGTCTCATCAAGGGAAATCACATCATCGCCCGCCTCTCAATTGGAACTTCTTCTTGAGGAGATCGCCGCAAATACGCATGCCACTTTTTTGTAGATTTCGTTAGGATTGAATCAGTTGTTGACAAGGTTTCGACAAGGACAAGGTTGTACTATTACCGCGCAACTATTATTGCACCAATGTTTAGACGAAATCTCCGTCAAATTGAAGCCAAAGTCTTATCGACTGATAAGAGCTGTTTCCTGTATACTGTAGCTGTACTGTAGCTGTACTGTAGCGAGACTGTAGCTTCAAATCTATTTAAGCGCAAACAGTTACAAGAGTCTGAGTTTTAAAAATTATATAAAGTAATCAGTTTTTTTGTACAAAACTTGCATATTCTACTTCTGGACTTCAAATGGGATTTGAGCACAAACTGCTATCCTATCTACTATATATAAAAGAGCATTGTCTGTCCGTTCGTCTATAAGGACTTTTTCTCAGTAGTCTTTGGGCCAAAAAAAATAGTTTAAATAGATTTAAAGTTCAGATGTAGTTGTATAAGTTATCGATCCTGTATTTGATGCTCAAGACACTCATAGTCAGTACAAAATTGAGTAACTTGTCCAGTTGTACTTATAACTACAGTTGCGAGGTATCAGTAGACTACAGTAGACTACCAAAAACAGTACAGAGCTTTGGTACTTCCAGCTTCTTTTTACGCGGATAGCTACCATAATCTGTGGAAATTTTCCTTTATTTTAAGCGAGTACCTGTACTTTATCATAGCTTTTGAGTTTTCAACCGTTTTTAGCACAATTTTCAGAAGGTTCAGAGTTCTGGAAGTACCAAAAGTTTTAATTTGCTATGAAAATTGCTAGTTCAAATGGAAATCTTTTTACTGTATTTATTTTTAATGTATTTCTTTGTCTATCTCAGGAAATAAGTTATTTTCTTGGCCTCAATGTAATTTTTAAACTTATATGTAACTTTCAAATTCCCATTTTCCCTTCAAAATCTCGGATCTATTTACGGGTTTCATTTCCCCTTCACGATTCGCCATTTCGACAAATTCTTCTCTAATGATGAGTTTACTCGGTTTATCTCTGGTCGCTAACATTTTTCATTGTTTTTTTTACTTGTTTTTGAATTTAACATGATCTCTTGAGAATGTGATTTTTGCGTACTTACTTGAATTGGATAAACCTTTATGTAAAGAAAAGTACAGTAAACAATGGGAGTGGGACAAATGCGACCTTTTTTTCCGCACTTAGCCCATTAGCGCACCTTTTTTCGCGTTTTAAACAAAGCTCTAAAAGCTAATATTAACCAATTTCTATTCCAAAAGTTGTTTTTCTAGGTAATTTGAGGGTGTCGAATTCAAATTTTGACATAACAGAGCGTGTGGAACCAATTTGAAAGACAAAACGGCTAGGTCAAATTACAGAAAATTGTTGATTTTTCTCTTTGTATAACTCCGTCCGTTCGCTTTCACAAGCTCTGATATGTCAAAATTTCGATTCTACGCCCTAAAATTACCTAGAAAAACAACTTTTGGAATAGAAATTGGTTAATATTAGCTTTTTAGAGCTTTTTTAAAACGCGAAAAAAGGTGTGCTAATGGGCTAAGTGCGGAAAAAAAAGGTGCGCAAATGTCCGGGTGCGCAAAAAAAAGGTCGCATTTGTCCCACTCCCGTAAACAATAAACTATTGTAATCTTACATCTGTATAGCTACCGTACTCCTATCGTATCCAGAAAAATATTCTGTTAATCAGATTGAATCCTTTCAAAATTTTCTACGACCGCTAAAGCTGAACATTATTTTACAAGCTTTACAGTAACTTTTTGTTTTTAAGAAGATTCAATCATTTCATTCAATCTAAAACAAGATATTTGGGTGTATGTAATGAGAAAGTTCGTGGTTTGACCCCATTTCTCTGCGAAACAACGCAGTGTTGTCTCTTTGATGTCTCTTCCCCTCTCCCTGTCACCCTCAAAAACACACCCAAACTACCGTAACCGCACCCATTTCGCGAGTAGCGATTTTCTGAAAAGACACAGAGAATAAACGTTTATGCCCGTGAATGCAAACATAAATCGACGATGCAACGTGGAATGAACGGGATTTCCGTTTATCCATTTTGATGTGACTAGCCACGGGGAAAGTCTATCTATACGATTTTGAAATATTTTCCTTTTTTGATTTTTCTTTTCTTCCTAGTTTTGCTTATCGATTTTGGATTTTGAAAAATTGCTTCATTTTATTGCGAAAGTCTTTTACTCACTACGAGGACAATTTGGCAAAACTATTCCTAAGCAAAAACCTCGGGGTAGGCTAGTTTCCGCAACTTTTTTTTGCGCAACAGGGTAATTTGCGCAACAGGGTCATTTGCGCAACTAGGTCGTTTGCGCAACTCGGCATAACTTTCTTCTAAGTGGGCTAATCTTTATCTAAACTTTATCTAAATTATCTAAATTTTGTTGCACTTATTGAGATCTACAAAATGAAATCAAAATCATAAAGATTAGCCCACTTAGAAGAAAGTTATGCCGAGTTGCGCAAACGACCCAGTTGCGCAAATGACCCTGTTGCCCAAAAAAAGTTGCGGAAACTAGCCTACCCCAAAACCTCATTTAAAAAATTAAATTCATAAAAACCTTGTCTACATTTTCAAACAAAATTCCCCTAGTAAAACCTAGTAAAACCTGTTTAAAATTCCCCTTGTAAACCCATTTTGCTAACTCACTATCATTGAGTTTCTCCATTCTATTCAACTCTCAACATTTCCATTTTCAACTTTCAATGCTTCATAAATATCGAGCTAACTCGGGGGTGGCTACTTTGTGGCAAATCTTTACGCAACTTGCCATAACCTTTTTCTAAGTCAGTCAATCTTTATGATTTTAGTGTCATTTTGTAGATCTTAACGAGTGAAACAAAATGACATCAAAATCATAAAGATTGGCCCACTTAAAAGAAAGTTATGGCAAGTTGCGCAAAAGATCTAGCAAAGTAGCAAAAATTTGGCGCAAAGTAGCCACCCCCGCTAACTCTGAACTAAAAAAAACTCTATTTCCAGATCCGTCTCAAGATGGGTAAACCGGTGAATGCGAAGGCGGCTGCGGCCAAGGCATCGAAGCAGAAATCGAAGGGAAAAGGAGGAATGACCTATGTTTATCTATTCATTGGTGCAATCGGACTCCTTGTCGCTATTCTATTCGCTATTCCCGAGAAAAGCCCGGGTGAGGGTGGAACTCCGACACATGTCGATCGAAATCGTCTCTCCGCCGCCGATCAAGCGAAATTCGATCTAGGCTATAAAGATCATGCTTTCAACGAGTACGTCTCCAGCTTGATTTCTTTACATCGGAAACTGCCCTATATTTCTCCGGCGCGTTGCAAGAAGGAAAAGTATTCCGAGAATCTGCCCGATATGAGTGTGATCATTTGTTTCCATAACGAAGCATGGAGTACTCTGTTGAGAACTGTGCACAGTGTGATCGATCGAACACCGACGAATCTCTTGAAAGAGGTCATTTTAATTGATGACTCTTCGACAATGGAGCATTTGGGAGATGCGTTGGATGCTTATGTGGCTGGAGTGGATAAAGTGAAACTCGTCAGAGAGCCGAATCGTGTGGGATTGATTCGTGCACGTTTGAGGGGTGTTGAAGAAGCAACAGGCACAGTGGTCACTTTCCTAGACGCACATTGTGAGGCAACTGAAGGATGGGCCGAGCCACTACTTGATCGGATTGCTTTGGATCCTCATTCGGTAGCTGTGCCCAATATTGATCCAATTGCTGAGGATACATTCAAATACGTGGCCGAACTTGCTCCACTTATTGGTGGCTTTGATTGGAATATGCAATTTGTTTGGCGAGATCTTTCACCAGAGCAAAAGAGGAAACGAGTCAACGAGATTGAGCCGATTCGAACGCCAGTAATGGCTGGTGGTCTCTTCGCTATTCGAAAGGATTTCTTTGAAGAGTTAGGCAGCTACGATCCAGGCTTTGCCATTTGGGGAGGCGAGCAATTCGAGTTATCATTTAAAGCGTGGATGTGCGGTGGTCGAATTGAAATTATTCCGTGTTCTCATGTCGGTCATGTCTATCGTCAAAGCACACCATACAAATTCGACGATCCAATCAACACGATTCGTCGCAATCTTCGCCGAGTGACCGAGGTTTGGATGGATGACTATAAATATCTGCACTACGAGCGCCACAACAATCGAACGTATGACTTTGGAGATGTGAGTGAGAGACGAGCCCTCAGAGAAGCACTCCATTGTAAGGATTTCACGTGGTACCTCAAGAATGTGTATCCAGATCAATACGTGCCAAAGAATCTGCAAGCCAAGGGAGAGATCAGAAATTATGGGGGTGAGCCTCATTTATGTGTGGAGAGTGTGATTCGTGGTAGTCGAAATCCGGACTACGAGGTTTTGCCAATTCATTGTCATCTCTTGGGTGAGAATCAATTCTTTGAGTTGACCGAGAACGGGGAGATTCGCCGAGATGTTGCTTGTTTCGAGCAAGTCGGTAATTTTTTGAGAGCGAAATTCTGCGACGGGAAAACGACACAGAAATTCACGCATGATCGCGAGAAGGGACACTTGAAGAATGTGGGATCTGGACAGTGCATTACGACGGTGATTCGTCCAGTCGAGGGACATTTGCTCAGAATGGAGACATGTCGAGATGGGGATATGACTCAGCACTTCAAATGGCAGCAATACTTTGATAAGCCACAATAAGTTGTATGAGAAATCGATAAGTTTTATGTGAGACCAAAGATTGTTATTTCGTAGTCACAGTTGTTAATTTATTGGGTTCATCTAGTAGGGATTAGTGTGGGAATTTGAAAGCACTGTACTAGGCCAATTGCTCTTGTAATAGCTAGACATATTAAGCCCAAAATACAGTAGGCATTAATGTACTTTCTAAAAGACATCTATTCTAAGAAAAGTACCGTAATCAAGCCTGCTTTTGTTAGCACACAGCTATTTTTAGCGCTGATTCGAGTTCTACAGCGTTGCAGTACCGTAAAAGCCCTATAAAAAATCGATATTTTACAGTTTACAGAAAAGTTAAGATAAGATAACAAAATTCCCATATAACTCTTCTAGAATAACCCCAATTTGCTCTATTTATTGCCTTTTTCTAATAATATCTTTTTGCCTTTTCTATTTTTTTTTTCGGGTGGGTTCTATGTAATTTTATCACTTTGCCTTGTTAACTTTCTAAATCTCAGTTCATTTCTTTTGTTGAGCTTTCAGTTTGTGAAAATTATCAGCTAATCTAATTTATTTTATATTTTGATCGGGTTATTTATGGTTTTTGCAAGGTTGTGTGTAAACTGTGATAAATTTTAGATCGAGTAAGCGGGTGAGAAAGGCTGCGGCGTGCCGAGAGGGAGAGGAGGATGGCACTCTTGGATTTGGAGGCACTTCCTCAACCGATGGACCCAGTTTTCTATGCGAAAATTCCCTCGTATCGAATTGTTGAGGACAGTAAACATGCTGTAAGGCTTTTGAAATTCAAAAAGTATCACGTTGGTGAATAAGTTTTTTTCGTTCCTTTTCGTACTTTCGTTTAAAGCCAACAAATGCACCAACTGAACGAAAATTTTCAAGGTTTAGCCCTGACACTTGACCACTTGTTATTTGTACTATTATGCTATCCAGAAAGACCTTCCATTCCTTTTCGTACTTCTGTTTAAAACCAACAAATGCACCAATTGAACTACGGTTTATTTCATTAGAAAGGCCAATTATTTTTCTGCAAAATAGCATTAAAACGGGTTTAAAATGTTCTGGATTTTTTTTGGGAGCGTGAAGTCGGGTAGTCAAAAAGAACGGCTCGATGATGCGATTTAGACACTTTAGCTAAGGAAACCTATCTTGATATCAATAGATAAAAGATAGAGCACAAAAAGTTAGGTATACAGCCAAATTTTCAAAGAAATTCATCCAGCCAATCTTTTCGTAGAGGTTTTTATAGATTTTTACGAAAAACACGTGCTTTCACTTTCGAATTTACTTGAAAGTGAACCGAAATTGACTTAAAAAGATGGGAAATTGAACAATAAACACTTTTTGTTTAAAGAAAACCATAGTTTAATTGGTGAATTTATTATTTTCAAAGGGAAATATGAAAAGGAACAAAAAGACTTTCTGGACAATCTAATACCTGCAGTTAAACTGCAATAAGCCGTCATTTTTAGCCAAGTCGCCATTTTTAAGAGTTCATAAAAGATTATCTATCGATGCTATGGTCATTAAATCTTAAACATATACAGAAAATGATGTGAATTTTCATTTAAAAAAGAAATTAATCGTTTTGGTCTACAAATAACAGAAATAAGCTTAAAACGGACTATTAGGACGGGTTATTTCTGTACATTTATAGATAAAAATAGCCAAATAACCCTTTATCCGATTTTCAGTTGTACACAATCCAAATCACGATCGACACGCATACGTGGACGCTTGAGAGACGATACCGAGACTTCGATCTGTTCGATCAACAGAAATTCCCCGATCGGAGTAAATCCTTTCTTCCCCCAAAGAAAGCTGTCGGGAATTTGGTTTGTGCTGATGAAATAAAGAAAATTGAATAAATCTTAGGATACCGACTTTTTGACGGACCGCAAGCTGGAACTCGAGAAGTATTTGAAGACGATTCTTGAACTTGAGGTAAAGTTACATACACTACTGGACAATGAAATATGATATTTGAAAAAAGATCGTCACTTTCGCGCGTCTGTAACTCCCTTGTCTTTACCATATTTCTAAATATTAATATTACCATTGTGTAGCCCTTGAAAAGAGCTTTCAGAAAATGTATAACACTAATAGTTTAAGCTCAAAGACAAGGGAGTTACAGGCGCGCGAAAGTGACGATCGTTTTTAAAATATCATATTTCATTGTCCGGTGCTGTAGCTATGTACTATGCAGAGTTTTTTAAAAGATATAGAGTTATATTTTTATGACAAGTTGGACTCAATCATTTACTCTACCTTGTATAAGATGGAAATTTGATATTTGTGGCGAATTGCCACTGCTCTGCAGTTAGTCAAAAGTTCAATACACAAGTTAAAATTCAAAGTTGATGGATAAACTACTGTAATCAGTCACTAAACGATATTCAGCTGTCCGTTTGTCGTAGCTTGTATACTTAAAAAACCCGTTTTTTAAGCTTTGCTTTTGATTGAGTTTTTGTTCTCCTTTTTTGCTTTTTATTATCCTTTTTTTTCACATGCAAGTGTTGAATTAAGTGTGATAGTGCCAGTGATAGTGATAGTTTTGATAGTGATAGTTGCTCCAGTTTGAGCGAAGTTGCCCTAATAAGGGAAAGTTGGATAAATTGTGCGTTTTCAAGAAGACCACTATTGAACCACACCGAGACACGGTCTCACAAGAAATTATATAGATCAAAACATAAACATATATTTCTTACAATATTAAGCATTCCATTTTAATCGTTTAAACCTTTTCTTTCAGGTTTGGTTACAGCGAAGAGCGAATGCCCATTCACTTTCAGTGCTAGTCGCTCGTTTTCTCGATTTCCACGAATACGTTTGTTCTTTTCAAAAGTTTATTCCAAGCAAAATCAATCAAAGAAATGAAATGAGAAACATTAGCAAAAAGCCTTGAGAAATAAATCAAAGTTTAAAGTAGTTGAAAATCTTGGGAAGCCTGAGGAAATTGTTCGATGGAGAGTAAAAGCCGAAAATGTTAGGAATGATGATGGGAAAGACCCTTGGATTGGGAAAATATTGTAGGAAATTGCAAATTTGAAGTTAGATTTCCAAGATTCGGATAAAGTAAGCTCTATTTTTCCATTTCAAGCATCATCCTCATTGTGTCCTACTTGAGCGGTGAGCTCTCCACGAGATCCAACAGCGCGTCGCTTTTGTCGCCAATATTGTAATCGGGTCCACACCTAGAAAAGCATTCGATTTTGTTAAAAAGTAGAACTTGGATATTTTAGAGATCACTTTATTTGATCCAGCTCCAATGGAATTTGCTATTTTTTTTGATTGTAAAACATTTGATACACGCCCCGCCCCCTTTGCCATTGGTAATCCAACTTTGAGCTCAAATTTCTTGGTGTTGGGTTGTCCAATTTAAATGGTTTTTGTACCAATCGATAGAGAAAGACTTGGTGCATCTAATGATATTAAAAATATTTAAATTGAATAGCCCAACACCAAGATATTTGAGCTTAAAGTTAGATTGCTGATGGGAAAAGGTGCGTATTAAATGTTCAATAACCTTTTTTTGTAAACTCACCTCTCGAATCGCCAAATAAATCATGGCAACATTCTTGACGGCGAAAAGACTAGCATCGTATCGTTTCCCATGATCTTGCACTTCCAATAAGACGTACAAGTAGATTCTCATTCCCAAGAATGGACCGTTCACCTATTGAGCATTTTGAAAGGTTTTGGATTGAAATCACTTACAATCAGCACGTAGAGAAGAGCCCAAATCTTTTCACTGATCATTAAAGTTCTCGGGAAGCGGCTAAAGGGTTTTAACTATTTATTTCGTACTTTATTCTGCACCTGAATCGAAGCTTGAAAAGGGCAAATGTGGGCAGGACAAAGTTGACTCCAGCAAGAACGAGAATTGAGATCTCGAGACAGAGATGAAGCTCCCAAGCATCTTTCTATCAATTGGAAATTGTAAATAGGAACATTAACAGAATTCGTTCTTGCACTTTCACGAATTAACTCGTAGCTCGTAAAACTCACATATGATTGCCAAAGCAAGTCCAAGAAATAGATCGTATCGGTGAGGTCTAAACAGACGGCAGTGGTGAGATAAGTGATGTAGAGTTGGCGTTGACTCATTAATGGAGTGTAGTGATGGGATTCGAGAAGGAATAGGAAGATCAAGACTGAAAATTCGAATAGATTAGTAGGGGAATAAATGAGGCTACGTTGGGGAGTCGGTTATTGTTAGCAAGCGGTCTGACATACTAGATTAGATATTCAGCAGATCATATAACAAGAAGTAAGCAACTAGTATTCCAGCTGGGTTAGCAACTAGTATTCCAGCTTGTTTAGCTCAAAGTACAGTGTTTTCCTCACCAGAAAGCGAGAGTCCGAGCTTGAAGAGGTGGTCATCGAAGAGCTTGTCATGGTTGTCGATTCCAGTTGGGGGTAACTAAAAAGGAGAAGCTTAGCGAAATTGGATTATATTTCTGGATCTCTTTATATAAATAGCTAGGTGAAGTCACTCACCTGATGGTGGAAAAGGCGGAAACAGACGGCGATCTTCGCCACGAGAACGCACGAGTAGACGAACCAGCCGATCCACGCGTATTTCACTTTGCTATCTGGAATTGAGTTGTGATACTCTAGAAATTGAGCTAGAAAAAGAACCTATTGATCCCATTTCCTCCATTTGTTCTTGATTGTGTTTGATGGCCAAAACGAGAAGCCAGATCATCACCGATAAGACAAGGACATCGGCAGCAAACCATCCATACCACACCTAGGTAGTTTAGAGGATTTATTCTAAACTAAACTCTAAACTCACTTTATCCTCAAGATTCGTCAAATAATAGTAATCGAGAAGTCCTAATTGGATCACTATCAAAACGAGGCAAATGAGAAATGAGGAAATGTCGAGGAAACCTCGAACACAACGACCTAGAAATTGATGAGTGAGGGTTTTTTTTGAAAGCTTTAACCTGGAATAACAGCCATGTTTCTATAATCACAATAGGTCGGGGGTTTCTCTTCTGGCACAAGCACTAAAGCTTTCTCGTCAGCTTTTGTCGAAGCGGATTTCACTGGGAACTCGTCAGCTCCCTCGTAGTATTCTGAATGGTTTTGGAGTTGATTTGAGAAGTTTTGAGTATTTAGAACAAGTAAAAAGTATTTGGACGACTACTTTGATTGTGCGTTTCTTCAAAATAAAACCTCTAACCCTTTTTTCAGTAACTTTTTCTCTTCACCAGTTCATTGCAAATTTTTGTAAGGTATAATAAATAAATGCTAATTATAAATCAAGTAAAACTTAGTTCATTTTGTTTTTTCAAAGAACCAACCAGCGTATGGGATACTCTCGTCACCGTTTTCCTCTACACAATCCTCTCGGATATGTCGTGGATCTCGGCCCGATGTCGGGAGATTGCTATTAAACGCTCCTAAAACTATTTTTCCTTTATTTTTTCCGATTTTCCAGAACTAGAGCATTGTTTTCAGTTTCTCGAAAAGGAATTTTGACTTTTAGAAGATTTTTTCAGTTTCCTTTAAGTTTATTTAAAGGAACAATGAGAAAGCAAGTGTGTCAAAGTTTTTACGTTTACTAGCACAAAGTATAGATCGAATTTGAGAGGCTCAAGAACAAGAACAAGAACAAGAACAAGACTTGTATCTGTGCAAAAATTATCAATTAGAGATTTTGCTATAAAACACTTTAAAAACTAAATCTAAAACCAAATCTATAAGAATTATGAATAGGAAATGCTTTAGAAGATCTAACCAGACATAGAGAAGCTTCTTGAGAAAACCGAAGAGCGATCTGGAGGCAATCTGTTGACTATTTTACAATCTGACTATTTTATGCCAAAATCTCAGATCGATTTGATTACTAATTGCGGAGAAATAACATTTTCGTTTAAAGATGAGAAATGGATGAGAAAGTGTGAAATGAAGTGTCAAGTTTTTTCCAGAAAAAATGGAGATGAAGAGGGCGACTAATGCTATAAGACGATTACGAGTAAATGGATGAGGAGAAATGGGGCAATTTTGAGGGGAAATTCTTGAAAATATGGAAAACATGAGGGAAAAAGATGCTCGTTTTCGTTTTTTTTTGCAAGTTTTCCAGGCGTTTTTCCCGGCGCACGAGCCGACCGGCAAACATTGGCAGTTGGTAGGGGAATTCACAAATTTTATCTTTCGAATCTTTCGAAAACTCTCAGATCAAGTTTTAAATTTTGGATTCAGGTTTTGAAAAAGGAAATTGTAGCATGAAATGGAAAGCTAACATTGCTTTAATTGCGCTATTTGATTCAGAAGTAGGGTCATTTTGATTCCAGTGAAAGATTATTGACTTCTTAAGAATGTTGGTTAGTAATATTTCGATATGGATCAAAAAAAACAAGAGCAACAGTTGAGACAATGGGGAGATGGATAGATTATGCAAATTTTAGGAAACACTCTGGAACAAAAGACTAAAAAGGTTTAGCTGGGTACTAAAGGAGTAACTGGGAACCAGTACGTAATGGAGAAGGATCAATTTCTGCTAAAGAACGATCAAGTTCTGCTAAAGAACGATCAAGTTAGCATTTAAAAGTACTTTAAATTACTAGTAGATTAAGCTGCAATTAGAACAGTCTTTAAGCTCTCTTTAAGCCAGAGATCAAATTACAGTCAAAGCCTACTGAGCCTAGTCCTACTTAATGGCCAGCTTCAAAACATCTCCAAGTCTTGCGCTTGTTCAGTTCAAATCCACGAGTCTTTGAAGTGAATGTGTTGTTGCGTGTTTCTTTTGACCATTTCCCCTCTCATTGAAATGGTCTCGTGGAAGCACACGGGAGTGTTCGGAAAGGAAAGGAAAGGTTCAAGTGAAGTGTTTGTGTATACAAATCGTTCAACTCTTTCCCCTTTTTGCCCCATTTTGCACCAATTGAGTGCAGTGTTCTTGGATGGATGTGAAGGGACAATTGTGGTGTCAGAAAGAGTTGTACGGTTTGCTCAAGGTTGCATTTTAGGGGACTAGTCAAAATTTGGCTGTTGTTTGGAAAAGGTTGAATATGGATGGAATCAAATTGAAATTCTTGAACTCAAGAAGGCAAAGTTTGTACGGTTTTTTGATTGTTCCAGCTATTGCCTCAAAAATTGTTGAATCTCAAACGAGCTTAAGTTCAGAACTTCAGGAAAGTACGTTAGGAAGCCTAAGCTTGTACGGAAAGGTCAGCAATTTGTAGATCATCTATAGCATAAATCTAGAATTCGTTTACCTACCTTGTTCCTGCGATGTCATATAGACATCGACTTTCGGCTAGTTGTTGACGAAAATTCGGGATGGCAGGAAAAGGGGTGAATCGAGAAACAGTAAATCTAGTCAATTCCCGGAGCTCTCGAGAAGCCGAACAACAAGGAGGGGAATAAACGAGAGAAAGAAGTGGAGAGAAGAGAAAGAGACTAAGGCCAATTTGTGGAGCCTTGTGGGGCGGATGGTTGGGCGGAAGGGGAGAACGGAGAGACCTACCCTTGTGGCCAACCCTGACACGGGCACGCCCCCCTTAACCCTCACCCATCCTAGTCACCCTTTTCCCTTTCTCGATCTTTCTCTTTCCGATCTGTGTCTTCTCTCGATATCCACTCCCAAACAACAATACAACAATCTGGCATCGTGCCAATGAGAGAACGCCTCTTTTGTGGGGGAAGAGGCAATGGATACTCCACTTCTTTTGTCTTTTGCCCATCTTTTGCTATTCCATTGACCACTGGATAAAGAATCAAAGGCTCAACTGAGCCAGAAAATGCAGGCAAAAGAGAGTGAGAGACAGAAAAGGGCTGAATTTGGCGATTGAAGGTAGATACTCGAGATGTTTTTGGTTTACAAATCAGGACTGTGGACAATGGCTGGCTTGTAATTTGCCTAGTCCAATAGCAACGATTTTTAAGTATAGCTATGTAAAAGATTAAACTCCTTAGCTCCTAGACTCAACCCCGATAAGCTAGTTTGTGCAATTGTGATAGACTTGCTCAAAATCATCAAGTCTGGGTTCATTAAAAGTCAAGCAACTTCTTGTTTATCTCTTCTTTTCCTCACTTTCTCATCCCATTTATGGGGGAATGGCAGGGGTTTAGAATAGATATCCATTCGAGGGAATAGCTGAGAAAAGAAAGGAATAGAGGAAAGAAAAAGAAGGCACAATTTGTCCCCTTCTCATTCTTTTTTCTCTTTTCTCTATTCCCGATTCCGCGATTATCCCCTAAGTATGAGAGGGGAATGTCCAAGAAGTGAAAGGAATGGAAAGGAATGGAAATGAATGAAAGAGAGAATGGAGGAGAGGGAAAGGGAATGATGAACGCACTCTCGGTCATAATAAGCACCTCAGAGTTGGGAATTCGGGAATTGATCAATTGTGAGGAGCTATGAATATTCGTGAAAATATTTCAAATGCCGACAATAGCTCTAAATTTTCCTTTCCTCTATTTATACACAAATTTTTATGTTTCTTGAGTGTCTAGTGAAAACGAGATGCCCGAAGGAAATTTTGATGAGTTGATCGCGTGAATTTTTGAGAGAAAGACTTGTAGGGAAGCATTTTTTAGGGAAAAAAATGTCGTAAGAAATGAAATGATCAAAATGCATCAACTAAACGAAATTGCAATATGCTATTTTAATTATTAAATAAAAAAGTAAGTCTGCCGAAAGTTTACGATAAAAAAAGTGTCAAATCAGTTATAGAAAAAGAAATTTTTCACTCAAAAATTCTTATGGATTTGAGCTGAATAAAACTTATGATAACCGAAGCAATAAATGAGTGAGTTCGGAAGCTGGATCAAGCTGTTTGTCTAGCTGGGAAAAAAAGGAGGGGAAAAGAGAATTGAGAAAAGGAAATAATGAAGAGAATCAGTAAACATCCACCATCTGCACCCCATTCACATAGAGTTTAGATAGAGTTGCCACTTTGGAGGAGATCACTTTTGGAGGGGATCGAAAGGGATATCCGGTTTTTGTTTTTGGTCGGGAGACTATTTAGAGTCAATATTTGGGATTCATCGAAAATTGGTTTACTGGTTGATTACGATACTTTGAATAGACAAGACCAATTCATTGGTTCAAAGCTTTTGCTGTGCTTCAAAGCTTAAAAAGCTTCAAAGCTTTGGCTGTCAAGTCTCATTCAAACATTATTTGAATGACTATGAATAGATCTTCTTGAATTTAGAGAGAACATGTTTTCAGCTTAGATAATTTAATTGGAAGAAAAATTATCTGACGAATCAGAAAAGTGAAAAGAGTTATCAGCACAAGATCTATGAATAGATCTTCTTGAATTGTCTAATTTTCGGGTTTTTGGGAAAGGAATACTTAAGTGCTTGTTGAATTTTTAAAATTGAGACTTTTCAGATCAGCAATCACAAGTTTATGATCAAATTTGCTTTAGTTTTAGATCAATAAAATCAAATTGAAATTTGTTATGTGGAAGTGCAAGACAAGTTTGTAATTAGAGTGACATTGAAAGGATTTCTGCTCTTTGTGCTCTTGTGTAAACAAACGTCTCCTAGCGCACCACTGAGAAAAGAGTTTGGTGTGTCAGAAAGCATTTGTTTCCATGGCACATTGGAGAACCTGACCCGGCTTGAGGTTGAATCTTGAGGTACAGCCAAACTAAGCAATCAAAAACAACAAAGAGATCAAATCTCAGCCAAAGCTTATCATTTATAAGATCTCGAAAGGTTGGCATGCATGGAATGAAACAAAAAGACGAGTTGAAGGTACTAGGGAGGGGTTCCTGTGTAAGAAGCCGATCTCCCCTGGGGGGATTCCACTTTCATCAGTGGAACCCTTTCCTGACTGAAGTGGACAAGGCCCTTCCCCTCCATGTGAGCCTCTCCATCCAATTTCCATTCCAATCCTTTTTTTCTTTTTTCTTTCTCATCCCCTTTTCGAGTTGTTCCAAACACACGCATCTCCTCCCATACATCGAGTAATTTGTTGCCCATTCCGGTCGAAAAGCCTCTCTCTCACTCCGACAATTTCTGGATTCGATATAGGAAAAGATTTCTGGATTTTTGAGTTGAACAGCTAGCTTCATATTACAGAAAGATAATGATTTGCCAAAGTATATTCCAAAGAGGTTTTTAATTAGAGTCGCATGGTTGGGGGAGAAGAAAAGAGGAGCAAGGGGATGACAAAGATAGTCCAAAGTGATAGTCTATTCTTTGAGTATTTTTCTTTCTGATGAGTACTTATCGTAGCAAAGTTCGGTAAAAATTCGGTTATCAGACTGTTTGGTACTGTAGTTCTTTCGTTAACTGTTTAGATTTGAGTTCTACTTGTTTAGCACAAAATTAGAAAAGCTATAGATTAAATTCAACTAATCCTAGTTGAACTTAATGATTGATAAAGTCAGGACGTAACACTTTGTCAAATGCCCAATATTGTGATAAATTATTAAATTTCTTGTAGCATGACAGCTTCAGAGCTTAGGCTACCATCATGCTCTTCATACTCATTATCTTGAGGAAAATATCGATGACCAATCACGTCAATCAGTCAGTGACCCCATCTCTTTCGCTCAGTTGGTGAGCCACTTGAGTAAAGTGGGGCCAAAAGAAGAAGATCGAATGAAATGAATATCCAGATGAGACTCGAAAACTCGAGAGAGAAGTCCCGTTTCTAATTTGCCATTCTCTTTTTTGGTTTTTGTTCCTCAAAAAATGTACCCCATATGGTCCATATAGAGAAAAGAAAAAAGAAAAGAAAGAGAAAAGAATGGGACCCCCATTCTACTCATAAAACAAGAACCCCATTTCGGGTTGTTCTGTTCTCTCTTGTTCTTTTTATCCCGAGAAAGCCTTCTAGGTATTTTTACGGGCTCATGACAAATGGAGTCGTTTAGTTGAGAGGGGAAAACAACGAGAAACACATTGCAGTGGTTGAGAATAGAGATTGTTTTCAGAATTATATTCAGTTCTCATTTTTTTCAGAGTTTAGGGGTCAATTCTCTCTGAAATTTCTCTGCACAGATAAATCTTTGTTTGAATTTGGCTTCAATCCACCTTTCATAGTAGAAATGGTTCAAAACTTTTGTTAAGAAAGACGAGTTTCAATCCAAAAATCCCAAGACGACCTAACTTTCATGATCTGCTAATTCGAAACACTTTCCACTATTGTCTACAGCTAAATGTTTCACATAAACGTCGAAATTTGGTGTAGAAATGGCACCAATCGAGAAAGAAGAGGTTTTTAATTGGAGTCGCATGGTTGGGGGAGAAGAAAAGAGGAGCAAGGGGATGACCCTAGTCCCCTCATCTCCGTCATGACCACAATTACCCCACCTACCCTCGATTGGAAAGAGGGGTCACCATTAGATAGAAATGAGGAAAAGAATAAGAGAGACATATCCAGGCTATTCTTTCTCATCTACACTCCGTAAACAACACTTTCATTCGTATTCAAAACGAGGTCCGGTTGAGGCTTTTTGTGGGTGAAGGGAACTAGTCAAAGTTTTAGTCAAATGATTCGTAGCACTATATTCATGTGAATATATTTTTTAAATGTGTAAAGTACAGGGTAGAGCCAGGGGATGATGGTAAATTTGTGTCAAAAGCGATAACCGGGAAAATCTTGGGATTGCAGTAGTACGAAAACTACAGTAATCTCATCCGCAAATTATAGCTAATCATTTCAATGCACTACTGATGATACAGTAATCTAAAGCACAATTATTACTTTAACAATCAAGTACTAGAGTATTCCAATACTACAGTAATCCAATACTACAATAATAACCAAGTACCACAGTTGACATTCAACCAATCCTACTGCAATCCACCAGTCAAGTACTACTTGCTACAATAATCCAGTCCAGTAATTGATATCCTACTTAAACTAATAATGATATACAAGTTACAGCTTCGATTCTTTTACCCAACCAATCCCCTTCATCTCCATCCCAAAATTCATCAAAGAACCTTGAAACCAACTGCAAACACTCTCACTTCCCTTCTCTCATTCTAGGTTGTATAGAGAAAGAAAATTATGATGGTCACACGTATAAATATCATCATTAGCACCTACTGGTCTCCCTTGGTTACCTGAAAGGACACCGAATGAACAGAAATGGAAGAGAGTTCAGATTAGCGCATATGTGCATAAATGGGAAAGGGACCAAATGTCAAGGGCATGTCCATTCTGATTGATTACTGACTGCTTTATGGAAGAGATTTTACCGGAAATGGTGGTGTTTTGAAGAAAATGTTATAGTAGAAGTGTTGCTTGATTAAAATATTGATTCAATGTTTGAACAAATTAGAGCTACAAATTATTGGGCAGATAACAGGACTTGTTCCTGAATTGGGTGCTTTTCTTAGAGTGCAATAGACGGGGCGTTTCGTCTATTACAGTGCAAGGTACAAAACTGTCAGACTTGTCCAAAAGCTGATCAGTATGCTTGTTTTTTGTACTTTATACTCAGAAATTTGGAACATACACGTCTATTACAGTGCAAGGTTCAAAACAAGGCTTTCTAGCGCACTTGACTGCTAAAGCTCTGGGTTGATTCAACGAAAAGACTGAAATTTCTTTTGTTTCAGATAAAATCGATACTTAAATTCAGATAAAATCGAAAGGAAAAATAAAGCAATTATGAGAAACAATGTTCTAAGATCCTTGCTTTGTTTCTAAATCTCGAAAATTCCAGGAGATTCATGCAATCGTCGACGATCTCTCGGTTCGTCTCGGTCAACTCGGCGATGGCTGGTTGACTGCCAGCGAGAAAGCACCAAAATATTTCGAGTTTACTCCAATCGAATTGTACGCTTTTACGGAACGATTGAAATTGGCGGAACCGACAATATCCGGTAAGTTTTAGCTTTCCGAGAGAAGACCGAGATTTCAGAGACAAACACCTCAGCCGATCTTAGCAACACCGTTGATTTCTTGTCTCGAGTCAAGAATTTGAAAGTGGGTAAGAGCTTGGCAAGTTGCAGAATCTGCTGCTTGTCTTTGAAATCTCAAATTTTTAGATCCGAGGCTCTCGTGGCTATGTCCGATCATCAAACATTGTCTGCAATTCTTTATCTCTGAGCCTTCACCATTGTAAAAACTTATTATCGCTATGGGTGCTTAAAGAATTTTAGAAAAATTATATCAAAAGTTTAGGTAGCCGACTTTGACGTCTCGCGGATTGAGGGGATCTCGCATTTAAGGAAATCGTTGAGGCGATTGGTTATTCATTATTCGATGAGTCGCATAAGGGTGAGGAGACTCAACAAAGATTGGATACATTTTCAAAACAATTTTGAATCTAAAGCTAGACAGAAAGCTTTCAGGATTTCTTTGTAAAAGAAGAGCTTTCCGTTGCCGATTTTGAAGATTCATGGGAATCGTTGGAAGAAGCCGATTTCTCCTTCAATCACCTTGAAGAGATTGATGACTCAATTGTAAGGAAAATGACAAAAAATGACAAAAAATTGAGCTCTTCCCCAATTCTCCTTTTTCGAATTCCGTGCATGGAAAGGGAAATTAGCAATTTGTGAGGGGAAAACGAGCAGCATTTTTTCTTTCTTTTGGAAAATAATCCATTTAAGGAACATTTTAAAGCGAATTTTAAGAACACTAGAAAAAATAAAAAAATGGGGTCAAAATAAAATGCATATGCCCAAATTTCAGCGCTCTCTCAAAGCACTCGTCCGGCTGAATGTTTCGCAGAATCGGCTGACGAGCATCGGCTCAACTCTTCAGCATTTACCTAGATTATCTTATTTGGATTTGTCAAAGAATAATATTGGTTAGTTTTACATATAATTTACTAGTAGAAGAATATAGTATTACACTCTAGCATTACGGATTTTTAGGCGAATATGGGGATGTTTTGATTGGAATATTAGCTTATTGTTTAAAGCAGATCAAACAGAAAAATACGGAAGTACGAAAAGCCTTTCTCGAAAGCCTAATACAAGATGGCTGTGACGAAAGTTTTAAGCCGAATTTGTATCGTCTGCTAAAGTCAAAAGATAGCGCGTTGTTATAGCTGTTTTATATGCTACGCTTCTACGCTAATCCCTAATCAAAAAAAAGACTTTTTGGAACATTCCCGTATTCTCCTAATTAGTTCTTTACTCTCTAGAATTCTCTAGAATTGAATCCAATCTCCCAAATCCCATTTCAGCCTCTGTCTCTGGATGGTCTCAACTCCTCGGTCAAATCTCTGTTCTAAAAATTGCCAACAATTCAATCAAATCGCTAGAAGGTTTGGTTTAAAAACAAAAGAATTATACAAATTTTTCCAGGTATTGCAAAACTTTACTCATTAGAAGTTCTTGATGCAAGTGATAATCAATTAGACACGATTGAATCGGTGATTTTCATCGGAAATCTTCCATGTCTTGAAGTGCTCAACTTGAAGTAGTTTAAAGCACTGAGATTTTAGTTTTAAGCCTTTTTAGAGGGAACAAGGTTCGAAAAGTGGTCGAGTACCGAACGAGGATATTGGAAGCGTTTGAAGAAAGAGCTGGATTGGTGAGTTTTCAGTAGTACAAAGCTCTGATGAACCAATAAATCTAATCTTTTAGGTGACACTCGATGGACAACCAGGAGATGCCCACGAAAAAGATACGATTGCGGTGAGATTGGCACTGAAAAAGGCTAAAGAAGAAAAAGAGATGGTCGATCGAGAAAGGAAAGAGAAGATTGAGAGGAGTGTGAGGTGAGCGGTGAGGTATTGCAAGCGGTGAGGTATTGCAAGCGGTCAAGGTAAAGGAAATAATAAGAAATAATGGATAATGATATTGGACTACAAGATAAAGATATTGGACTAGTTTCATTCAAGATAAGTCTAGTTATGCTTTGTTAAGCCAAAAGAAAACCTTAAATCAAAATTATTGCAAAAAAAAATTGGCGCAAATCACCAGCGACGAGTTATACGACTTCTTTTAAAGGTATTCAGCCATTTGGTGGCAAATTCCCTTCACAAATAAAGATATTCAATTTATAAAGAGGAATAAACAATACTAGGTGTACTTTGATTGTCTATTTGTTACTATTTCATTTCTTGCAATTTGTTACCATTTCATTTCTTGATAAAACATTCCAGGTATATTTCCAATTGCGAAGGATCGGACACATCTCCGTACGGAAGTTTTCGAAACAATTTATAGTTTAAAATCTCTCATTTCATTCATCTCATTCCATGAAATTGTTGTTTTTCTTTTCGAGGCATTACTTTTATTTCTTTTATCTTTAAAGCTTTCCCCGCAATATCTTTTCACCGGTGTGCTATCCCAAAAACAAATGATATCGATTTCCAATCAAAAACCCTACTTAGAAAGTGTGTGCTTATCTCTTCTGAGCTTACTTATTCAAAATCTTTACTTCAAAACTTTAGTTCTGAATTTCAATCATCTGAATTTCCATCACTTACTTAATCAAAACTAGTTAATGCCAGTTTTCTGTGATATTTAGTTATTGAAATTCTCTTTTATTAAATAAATTTTTGATCATGTTAAATATCAACATTAAATTACCGAAAAAAACGTAAGGGTCGGCAATTCGCGAAATTAACTGCCCTATCAACTTTTGATGGTAGTTTAGTTGACTACCATGGTCGTAACGGGTAACGGAGGATCAGGGTTTGACTCCGGAGAGGATGCCTGAGAAACGGCAACCACATCTAAGGAAGGCAGCAGGCGCGCAAATTACCCACTCTCAATTCGAGGAGGTAGTGACAACAACTAACGAGACTGCTACCTTTGGGAACAGTCATCGAAATGGGTACAATTTAAACCCTTTAACGAGGATCAATGAGAGGGCAAGTCTGGTGCCAGCAGCCGCGGTAATTCCAGCTCTCAAAGTGTATGTCATTATTGCTGCGGTTAAAAAGCTCGTAGTTGGATCTGAGCCTTTGGATACGGTTCACCTCTGTGTGATACTGGATCCGGGGTTAAATTCGTCGGTTCTCCGGTTTGATCAAGTTAACCATAATCTAGAGCTTAATGTGTTATCACGAAACACAAATACACCGGTGGTCATATGTATTAGTACCCTCTTGCAAAAAATCTTCTCTCAACGATTGCCCCCTTAAAAGGCTGCCAAATTCAAAGTGCTAAAAAGCATTTTTTGCTAACAAGCTCTAGTCTCTAAAACCACAAAAAAATTGATTCGAAATGTTTATTATCTTTTTAAAAAATAGCAAGGACGGAAAAGACACCTCAAAAATGGTGGACAAAAGTATTGACACCTTGCAAAAACAACAGTAAATTTAATAGTCTATTGGCCCTCCTTTGGCTTGAATGACTTTTTCTATCCGTCTGGGCATCGAGTCGACCAAATTGTGCAAAACTGATGATCCAATTTGATTCCATACAAGACGTAGATAGAGCCAAAGCTCGCCTTGGGCGAAAAGTGTTTCTCCTTCAATTTCGCTATCACAATCGACCATAGATTCTCGATAACGTTCAAATCTGGTGAAAAGGGAGGTGCTTTAATCAAAGAAACGTCATTAATCGCAAAACAGCCCGGAAATCGTACCCGTCCTCCATTCGAGAGTCTTCCGACAGGTCTCATCATAAGTTTGCTTGTGTGAACTGGCGAGCTGTCCTGGTAGTACAATCATCCTTGAGGTAATGTTTTGCTCGCAAATGGAAGTAAACGTTGCTCAAGTATTCCCATGTATCGCTGAGACTTCATGGTTGAATTGATCATCTCAAGTGGACCGACCACATTTCTTGTCATCGCTCCTGCAAGTTGACAGTTATACGAAGAAAACTATAGAAATTCATACCCCAGCACATAATATTTCCACCCCCAAATCGAACCGTGGGTTTGATGTACTTGAGTAATAGCCGCTTTCCAATCGGTCGCCTGATCAATGGAGGTCCATCCGACTGATAGAGATTAACTTTTGTCTCATCAGAGAAAATTACTCGGTTCCAATCGTCACTCGTCCAACTTTGGTACCTCCGAGCAAAGGCTAAACGAAGTTTCCTAATCCGAGGAGTCATACGTGGCTTCTTTATTGGTCGTCTAGCGTACAACTTTGCTTTGATGAGTCGCCTCCTCACGGTCCTTGCTGAGATATCTGTGCTGAATTGTGATTTATACAGGCGGCTTCCGTCGGTCGAGGTGAGACTTGGGTCCTTTTTGAATTCCCCTATGATCGATCGATTCTCGGCAGTTGTTGTTGATGGATGTCGACCAGATTTTGCAGCTCTGTGTAGAGAACCGATAATCTTTGATTGTTTAAAAAGTCGTTTCACCGTGCTCTCGCTGCATCCAAATTGTTCAGCCAAATCTGCTGTTTTCATTCCATTTCTTCGACCTTCAACGATCTTTTCTTTGATTGGAGTCAGTAGATACGGCATCTAAAATTAAATATTTTAAAAAGTCATCAAAACATGAATGTAAACAAGAATAAAATAAAGGAAAAGCTAAGGTGTCAATACTTTTGTCCACCATTTTTGAGGTGTCTTTTCCGTCCTTGCTATTTTTTAAAAAGATAATAAACATTTCGAATCAATTTTTTTGTGGTTTTAGAGACTAGAGCTTGTTAGCAAAAAAAGCTTTTTAGCACTTTGAATTTGGCAGCGTTTTAAGGGGGGCAATCGTTGAGAGAAGATTTTTTGCAAGAGGGTACTAATACATATGACCACCAGTGTATCAACATTAAATTACCGAAAAAAAGACTACCAAGACAACAGGTTAGAGTTGATTGCAGATTTAGAATCAGCTTGAAAAATGGCGTTCATTTTAAAATCGACGCTTGGGTGTTTCTCTGTGTGAGGCATTTTTGAGATGTTCGCCCATAAAAGCTTTAATCTCTACATCTCTACACCCGTCTGCTTTATTTCGTGAAAAATAGCGTGTGCAAAAAGCTTTACTTTAAACAAAACACATTACCACCAAAAGCAAATTCATAGCAAAATCTATATTTACTATACAGCTAGTTTCTTGCAAAGAGCACGAGCTTGCAAGACCGAACCGGCTGGTCGACAATCACGCTCAAGACCGCATCCCTCGTCATTAGTCATCTACAAATGGAACTTCTTTTATATATCATTTGAGTTATTCCCCATTTCCATCTTTTCCACTCTCTGAAACAAGTTAGACTGACAACGTAACAGTACTTGTTTACCCGGTTACTCATTTTCTTTATCTTATCGTTTTGTTTTTGTTGTTTTAAATTGATTGATTGGTTAATTACCCGAGTTTGAGGTGTTAACTTGATCCCTTTGTGGATAAAGGAGTTGTTTTTCAATAGCACACAGCACCAAAAAGGAGTTATAGAGCAAAGGCTTTAGTCAATTGCTGTAACTACACTACCGTTATCACGACAAAGATCAATTTACCCATTAAATATCTTGATGTTCAGTTGACTTTACAAATATTCAATACCAAAAAAGCCAACCAGCCAGTAACATCCTTGTGGCCAATTGCACGTGAAATTGTTAGGGTTAATAACGTAGTCAACGGGAGTTCCATCGGTCCAAGTGCCCTCTCCAAGTTGCATATGGCCATAGTATCCGATCCATGTTGAGCAGTGGTCACAGGCAGGATCGAGCATGGTCGGTATTGAAGTGATGTAGCTGACATTTCCTTTGATCAAATCTGAGTGCTTAATGAGATCTTTTTAAAGATTGCCAGTTTACCGTAAACGAAATCTTCTTCACAAGCCGAGTGAATCGAGGCCAAGTGTGCGCCGAGTCCCACGCAAAATGTTTCAGCTTGGTCCTGATTGTACCAGTCTCAGAAATATCCCTTTGGGCTATACGGGTCGTTGTAGTTTCTGAAGGCGTAGTCCTGAATAGGAGAATCTTTTAGTCTTTCAATCGATTTTCTTTTGCCATTATGAATAACATATTACTAAAAAGAAAAGAGAAATCTTTCTCTTACATAATATTTAGAGATTGTCATATTTGTGACTAGAAAACAAGAGATCAATAAAATTTATAATCATAATTTACGAAATATGATGATCTCTAAATATTTTGTAAGAGAAATCTCGTTAGTCTATTAAAGAGATTCAAAAAAGGTTCGAGGTTCAAATAAGTGTATTTGCCATAACATAACTATTAGGTTGGCAACTAAATAATGGCCCTCGCCCTTTTTTGATAAAATCTTTTAATCTTTGCGTTTAATCTACCCTCGCTTGTTGTTAATTGAATATTACTGAATTTCTGGTGCATTATTATACGTTTTTACTTTCCTTGATTTGATACTTTTCAAATAATTTTGTTTAGAAATGGAAGATCTCAAATATCGAATGCGTGTCTGTCTCTGGTACGACTACAAACAAGACAAAACAGCTGCCGAATCCCACAGAGATTTATTGCGAGTTTTTGGTGATGAAGCTCTTTCCGAAACACAATGTAAGAGATGGTATCGACGGTTCAAGGAAGGGGATGTAAGTCTTGAAGATGAGCCTCGCCAAGGACGACCCGAACTTCTGCAGAACGATATTTTGGAAGCAGCTTTAAAGGAGGATCCAAGTCAAACATCACGCGAGCTAGGGGATCGATTGGGCTTTTCGCATACTGCAATCGAAAAGCGACTTCATGCATTGGGGAAAAGTAACCGCAGTGGAAAGTGGATTCCGCATGAATTGAGCGAAGAAAATAAGGCTACTCGCGTTATCACAGCTGGAATACTACTAAAACTTGCGAAAAAGGGAAGCTTCTTGGATTCCATTGTCACTTCTGATGAAAAATGGATCTTTTATGATAATCGAACGCGAAAACGACAGTGGCTTAGCACAAACGAAAACCCAAAACCAACTCCGAAGCCGGATATTCACTCAAAGAAAACTCTCCTCTGTGTGTGGTGCAGTTCTCGTGGGTTGGTGCATTTCGAGGTTCTCAAAAGCCGGCAAACGGTTAATTCAGAACTCTATTCGTCTCAACTACATCGTGTAGATCAAGCAATTCGCTCTCAAGGACTCGAACCCTCTTCAATTCATTTTCTCCATGATAACGCAAAACCACACACTGCAAAACTTACAATGGAGAAAAAATCGAGGAGTTGGGCTGGAATGTTCTTCCTCATGCGCCATACAGCCCGGATATGGGGCCTAGTGATTACCATCTTTTTCGATCGATGCAACACTTTCTAGCCGAGAAAAAGTTCAATGACCTTGACGAAGTCCGAATTTCAGTGCAGAAGTTCTTTGACGATCAACCAGAAGAATTTTTCAAGAGAGGAATCCAGTTGCTCCGTCAAAAGTGGAAAGAAGTAATAAAGAATGACGGAGAATACCTTTTGGATTGATGTTGATATTTGTTCATCTTGTTAATAAATTTTTTGTTTTTACTGAAAAGGGCCATTATTTAGTTGCCAACCTGATAGTTCACTATCTAAAAATCCGGTTAGTAACGTGGTTATTTTACTATTTAGGTAGCAAGCAACAAGTTCGGATCAAAAATCTACCCTTAAATAGTAGCAGTAGTCGACACCAGTCCGGTAGTTACGCCAAAGCACCCAATCAGTTGGACAAGTGCCTTAATAATGGAAAGGGATTGAATATCTTTAAAGCTATCTCTAAATTTCACTTACTAGCGGCTGCAAGACCGACGAGTAGAAAGAAGATCAGAGACGATGAGAGAGACACCCTCAAAGTCAATTGAGTCGAATGAGTTGCCCATTTGATCGCTGAGCTTTTATATTTGAATTTGTTCTTTGATTTCTGAAATTACAATTATAGGACTGAGTTAAAATGTGTTTCGCTTTTTACAATGGACCCAGTCTCTTTTGATCCTTTGTAGCAAAAGAAAAGCATTCAGTGAACTATTTTAAAGCATAGTCTATTGAAATTTTTTTTGATTACTTTTGTCAGAAAGTAGAAAAATTTGGTGGTAAAGGATGAGAAGTGTGGGTACAAAAGGTATTCTTTTCGACAATATGATCTCATATTCAACTCGATATTGAGTCTTTGATCTTTGTGATTCGTATCAAATGAAAAGCATGAACATTGAGAGCGCTATTTTAAGCTATAAAGTTTATTCAGGAAAATTTTGTTGACCTCTGGTCTCTTGTTTTCTAGTCACAAATATGATGATCTCTAAATATTTTTATGCATTGATTATTGATTAAAAAAATGAGTAATGGATTTTACCGTCTGTTCTTTCCCAAAATTCCTTCAATTTTCCCACTCACACTTTGCATGATGCAACAAACCGATTTCTCTAAATGCATTTAAGGCTTTGTTATCAAGGTTTGATTTTAAATTGTTCTTTTCTTGTGAAAATAAACGTTTGACGAGTATGTATTAAACTTTGTTGAACTTAGCCGATAAAATTTCAATTAGCATAAGAAAACTTGCATTTGGGAATCGACTGGAAAAGTTGTAGTATAAAGAAAAGAAAATGATGCCCCTTATATGACAATCACCAAGGTGAGGGGAAAAAGAAAGCCAACACAAAAATGAGACCACAAATCATATAGAAAGTTTCCTTTGAAAAAGCTATGTGATTCTCTTGTGCTCGTTTTCCAACATGTAGATGCCGATTCATCGTCTTCTTGATCACTTGACCACTCGGTGAATATTCCAACGTTTCGGTTAGATCGTATTCACCTGAAAATTGAGATTATTTACAAAAAAACTCTCGCAATTGTTTTTTCTCAACTTCTGTTGTCCCATTTGCACCTTACCGGCTTCATCAGGGTTTCGGTTTGCTAGAGTGTCCCGAGCGATACGAGTTGGTGCATCGGGAGCCAAATGTTTGGCTAGATCGGCAACTTCTTTTACGACCACCGGAACCACCTCACGAATCACTCTTTGAGTTGGTGAAATAACGTCCTCGACCCTTGGCAAAATGTCTTTGGTAATGAATTTTATCAGGTTTCCCCCGTCTGTCTCTGGCACTTCCACAGAGCCCATTCTAAAGCGATGAGCTGCGGAGAAAATGCATATGTTGCAGCCGAATAACTTTTTCAGCTAAATGAATTTCAAAGTTATCCGGCTAGCCGAATAACTTTGAACCCATTAGATTTTAAAAGCAAATTTTACATGAAAGGTCAAGAGTTCATTTCCGCTATTCTTTGCTTTTTACTGTAAATCCTCTATTAGACCGGCCTGTAAACACTTTTTAAATAAAAAGCAAAGGAACCGAACCCTTGAACTTGCATGTAAAACTTGCATGTAAAATTTGCATTTAAATTTATTCGGCTGCAACACATACAATATAAGATATTTCTGCTTAACAAAATTAAATAATCGGTTGAGAAAAAATAAGAAACGTTGGCGACCGAGTTCTGTAATGACAAGTCAAAAAGTCAAAAGTCATGTTATCAATTTTTAGCTTATAAGGCAAATCTTGAGTCAGGTGAGCTGATAACAAACTTAGCAAACAAGCCTTTGCACAATTTCTTGCGCAAGTTCTCTGGTGAAATTGCCATAAACGTAGGAAAAAAACGATAAAACTTCTGGGGCGTTTTCTGAAATGTTGAAACGTTTTCTGAAAAAACTCTCTCTCTCTTATAAAGCTTGCGCGGGCGACAAAGAAATGTTTGCGTAGTGTAGCGGATAAAGTGTCGCAATGCAAAACTCTAGGCCAAAGGTTCGACTCCGTTTAAGCTTTTCTTTTTTGAAAAGCTGTTTTAAAGTGTTCTCTGTATGCACATGTAATCGCACACAAAAAAAACGTTTTTTAGCCGTTTTCACGTATCTTTCATGGATTGAAGAGCTCTCGACACCCAAAAAAGGCCATCGACCAGACATTCGATGAGCCGTTGTGATGGACATTCAATTTATCACCACGATCATGCAAATGGAGGTTGATAATCGTTCTGTTGGGTAGGGGAGAACTCGTAGCTATTTTTTGCAACTTTTGCAATAGTCCTTTAAAAAGTGAAAGAGTGAGAATCGATTGACAATACGTTCAAACGATTTGAAGAACTGTTATTCTGCCATTGTGATAGATGAATGATTTCAGGCTCTCGCCATCACCATTCCATCCTTGCTTTTGGCTATCTATTTCTCGATTAAAAACGACCACCTAGCGAAACCGATGCGGCACGTTTTATAATGAAATTCATCTACAAGAATTCCTCAAGGTTTAGAGTAGACCAAAGCTCTTTTATTAGGTTGGCGGGAAAATAATGCGAATTTTTTTGACCCGAATTTTTATTTAAAAAAAACAATAAATAAAGAGGATTAATATAAAAGGTATTCTCCATTATTATTTAGGACATTATGTCAACTTTTGCTCAATTCAATAATTCCTTCTTCAGAGAACTGGGGACTTTTTGACGAAAAATAGTTGGTGACAGCATTTTCGAGTTCCCGGAAATCGTTGAACAGCTGATCGGGGATGAACTGCTTTAGAGACCTGAATAAGTGATAGTCTGATGGGGTCAAGTCAGGGCTGTATGGGGCGTGAGGTAGATGCTTCCAACCCAGCTCTTCGATTTGTTGGAGGATCATCTTTGCCGTGTGCGGTTTTGCATTATCACGCAAAAATCGAATTTTTGAAGTGTCATGTCGAGATTTCGGTAAAGCTTGATTCACACGCTCTAACTGCTCACTGTAAAGTTCAGATGTGACAGTTTTACCCGGTTTGAGCAGTTCAAAATAAACCAATCCACGATAGTTCCACCATACGCACAACATCAACTTCTTTCCATGCAGACCAGGTTTTGACATGGCAACCGGGACTTGCTTTGGTGATGGCCATTGGTGCTTGCGCTTAACGTTATCATATAATATCCACGTTTCATCAGAAGTAACAATCGATTTCCAAAAATCATGTGCTTTTGATTTTTGAATCAAAATTGAACAAGTGTTCATACGGGAAATTTTGTGATTGAAGGTCAGTTCATGCGGGAACCATTTTCCGCATCTGTTTCGCTTTCCAATCAAATGTGAATGCTCTTCAATGGTGCTATGATCAACATTGAACATTTCCGACAACTCCCGAGTGGTGCAAGTGGGATCTTCTTCAATAATTTGCAAAAGTTGAGACTCATCCAGCTTTCGAGGACGTCTTTCGTGACGCTCATCTTCTAGGCTCTCGTTTCCACTTTGAAATCGCTCAAACCATCGATAACATTGGCTTTCGCTAATACTACCTTTGCCATAGGCCTTTGAAGTAGAATTATGCGATTCACGGGCAGATTTTCCAAGCTTAAAGTCATAGAGTAAAGCAGCTCGAATAAGGTCTTTTGTTCCGTCATTTTTTGATATCAAATGAACAAATATTTTCGAATAATATTATGATTGTGTAAGCAAACACACTCTGCTTCTCTGTTACTATCGCGGTTTTCTCTGTTTGTCGGTCATTACTTTCCCAAGAGCACAAGTTAAAAATTCGCATTATTTTCCCGCCAACCTAATATTTGCTAGTTTACAGCTTTTTGATCGTGACCGAGCATCTCGACAAATCGTCTACGCTATAGCCGAGATTATTTCAGATGTGTGCTCGTTCGATTATCCATACCTCGAGTAAGCATTAAATTAAATAAATAATTTATACTAGAGTGTGCTCCTCACAAGTAATGCCTTTTTAAAACGCACGCTTAGAAAAAATTACCGTACTTTTAGCGAAAATTCAATTATTGCAAAGAAATTGATGCAAAAATCACGAGCGCCGCCTTATATACGACTCCTTTTAAAGATATTCAACCGTTCAACTGATTTGGTGGCAAATTCCCTTCAAATGTAAAGATTTTTCAATTTACTCGATGTGTAAAGAGGATTACTCGTAGTTACTCGACCAAAAGCGCCGATTAATCGAGTCAAGATTACTCATGCAAATTTTACTCGAGTAATTATTTACTCGCGAGGAACACACTCTAATTTTTACCCTATTATGATTTTTTAGACTCATTAAATTGTTGTCTTCTACAGTGTTGTACCTGAATAACTCTCATCGAGAGACCGGTCTCCGATGCAAGTTTGGCTCTCGCGTGCTTTGAGGGTTTTGCTCATTACTTACTCGCGAGGAACACACGCTAATTTATGCCAGCTAAACTAACGATATCCATATTTCTCCGAATTTCCCTTTATTTCTTTATAAAATTGATGTCGTATCGCCACGATTTCCAAGCAATCACTCGAATTTTCCAGTCAGTATCCTCTGAGATCTTTGCTGAAACAAAGGACTCGTTTCTCTTAGATAAAACCTTTTCTATTACATCCATCTTGGGGTTGCACCAGGAGATGAAAACAAAAAAAAACACGATTGACACTGAAAAAGGCTAAAGAAGAAAAAGAGAAAATTGAGAGGGGTTTGCCATTCCAAAAATGAAGCTAAAGGAAATATGTTTAGCTAAAAAGGATATACCGTATTCCCTCTAATAGTAGTGCGCACTACTATTTTTTCAACCCCCTCCTGGACCGCAATTCTATTAGAGAGTGCACTACCATTAAAGAGTTTTATCATTTACCAAAGTAAGACAGATATAAGATTTGTTCCAAAAATTCTTGCAACTCTTTCACGTACTCCTTTGGCTCCTTTTGACATACAGTTGTGGGCCGGCGAGTTGACAATTTGTGTCTTGACAAACAACAAAAAGATGTTTTTGCCCTTTGCACAACAATTTTAGATTTTTTGTTAACTTTTTCATTTGAAGAATAGTTAATAAATGAATAAAAAAAGCCTCACTTTTGCTTGCATGTATAGCTTTAGAATGTCACATAAACATAAAGTCAAAAAGGTTTAGATGAAAAAGAAGCACCAGAAATTCAAATTTTCAAGGGTGCACTACTATTTTTTCAACCCCCTCTCGGACCGCAATACTATTAAAGAGTGCACTACTATTAAAGAGTGCATTACTATTAGAGAGAATACGGTAATCCTATACACTTTGATTGATCGACAACTGTTTGACTAAAGACTAAAAAATTGATAACGAACTACAAAGAACTTAAGTGAGAACAAAAATTATTATTTAAAAAGTAGTAAAGATTGTAGCTTGCGGGGTTACTGTAAAGTTAAACTGTCAAATTTTTCTAAAGAGTTTTTTTACAAACTTTCTGAATCAGAAATATCGAGTACAAGGTACAACCCTTTCAACAGCGATTGCTAAGAAAAAGCTTGCGAAATGATGTTCTTTGTCTATCGGGTGAGTCCTCCTTCACCCACCCAATCACTCTTTGACCCCTCACGTTTCCCCTTTCTATGAAAATTCTCAATCAAACTTAAACTCATTGATTAAAAGTATAAAAAAAAGTAAACATAAAACAAGATATTCAGTTAACGAGCACATTTAAGCCAACAATCTATGAAGCATCTGTTTTTCATCATTCAATGTGTGCAAAAGTTATGCTTATAATATTAATCCCTATTATTATTCGTTTTGTTCTTGTAATTTCTCCTGTATTTAATTTGGTTTAAATATCCAAGTTTGACTCTCGAATAATTTGCTACACTTCCCATAGTGTACTTTGCTCCAAGGAAATCCCTATCGTTCACCCAAATAGTGATGCAAGTTGTCCATTGCATTTCTCCATTCTTTTCACGTGAATCAGCGAGAGTGTTTTTAGGTGCAAAGAGTGAAAAAAGGACTAGACAGTCTAGCACAATGAACATTGGATGATTGGAGTCTAGGGTAAAGATCTTGGACTGTAAGGTGCCGTATTTATTCCAATTAAAGAGCCCTCTCTATTAGAAGAGCCCACTTTAGACAAAATTTTTCATTTTCTCGGATTTTTCAATCTCAAATAGCAAAATGCTCAGCTTTTTAAAGGCTTTCAATAAAAAGAAAAGAAAATCCAACAAAAACACCCATTTTTGAGCTCTTGAAAGTTTGCAAATTTGACTTACTCCCAAGGAACACACTCTACTTCTTCTGGTTTACCTTATAAAACTATAGGCTAAATAAATAAGGTGTACTTTAATTGTAAGAGATTTTTTTACTATTACATTTCTTGATAAAACATTCCAGGTATATTTCCGATTGCAAAGGATCGGACACATCTCCGTACGAAAGTTTTCGAAACAATTTATAGTTTAAAATTGTCTCACTTATGTTCTTTCACAAAGTTCTCACTGATTCATTTCTTGAAATTCAAGATCATTTCTTTCCAAAGCATTTCTTTTACGATCTTTCAAAGCATTACTTTTATTTCTTTTATCTTTAAAGCTTTCCCCGCAATATCTTTTCACCGGTGTGCTACCCAAAAACAAATGATATCGATTTCCGATCAAAAACCCTACTTAGAAAGTGTATGCTTATCTCTTCTGAGCTTACTTATTCAAAATCTTTACTTCCGAACATTTACTCCTTGGTGACATAACTATTGTAGAAACATTTCAATGCGTCAAAAGGGTTTTGTTTTCAATTTGAGCCAATGCAAAGAACTGATTTAGTTACCCAACTTGTCTAACCATCTGTAAAAGGTAAAAATCTCTATGACCTAAAAATAAAATCAAAATATTAGATAACTCAAAATGATGCAGAGTTTCTATTTTAACCTTTGTACACGAGAAAAACAAATCTTTTACCCAAAAACAAGTAAACAACGGGGGAAAAGTCGAGTACCCAAGGTCAAATCGGTTATTTCGAAACCCCAGATCAACAACTGTGTTGTAAACTGTAAACTGCATTGCCTTTGCACTTTGAAACACCTTTTTTGTGTTAAACCCTGCAAGTGGCTATCAGTTTTTTTGGGTCAGCATTCGGGTGGGTGATAATTTGGGGATTCCCTTTGGAAAAGAGGAAAAAAGCTCAAAGAACTGGTGCAATTGACGAAAACAACGAAAAATGCCATCGGGGTCAAGAAAAAAGGGAGAAAAAGGGAGGAAATGGGGAGAAAAATGGGAAAAGGGGCAAAGTCCGAGCGATCGAACGGGCCGATTTTTTGCGGAGGAGAAACCCATCGGCTATCTTTGGGAAAAGGAAGGGGCGGAGAAAAGTGAATCCCTAAAAAAGCACCCAGCACTCCACTCCACTCTGCAATCCACTCATTTCATTTGGGAATGTTTTCGTCAATCAGTTTACAATGGCTTTTAAAGCTTGAGATTTTTAAGCTGACTAATGAATATCTTGTTTTGCAGATGGCTTTTGGTCTTTGCCTGTTTCTAGAGTCAAACCTCTAGGCTAGCTAAGCCGCTAGCTTTTTAAGCATTTCTCTAGGCTAAACCGTCAACTTTTTGTCTCTATTCAAACATATTCTTGACTTTACTATGGTTCAACGTTTAGAAAATGCTTAAAAGCTGACAATTTCCATCATCAGAGCTCTTATTAGCATTGCTTACAAATCTTTGCCGGTTTTAGCAATACTTATCTAACTATTGACTTGTAAAAACTCTTTTTGTTAACTTACTTTATTATTTTAGGTGATCTATATTTTTCCTAATGAAACTCTATATTTTCCTTCATCTTTAAGTTAAAACTATTTCAGCTTCATCCAAAATGACCCAACCAGCAGAGGAAGGTTATATCTACAAAGCCTATTGCGGTTTTGTCGAGAATCCCTACGTTCAAGAGGTTTGCTAAAATTAAAATTTTATGCAAATTTTATGGAGTCTATAAATTTAGGGTTACAAAAAGTACGAGGACGCCAAGCACAGCCATCCAATTCTTGAGAATTCTCTACAAACGGTGAGTCGAATTTCAAACGATGACATTGACATCAAACGATGACAAGAGAAATGTCTTAAGAGCAAAAAAATAAAGTCTCATTGTTCTTTCATTTTCAGGCAGAGAATATGGCAGCCACTGGTCGCAACATGGTCTTCAGCACAGCATCTACTGTTTATCGTCGTTTGTATACTCAACCGAAAGAACGAGTTGAGAATGCCTACACTTATGGTGGGTGAAATCTGATTAAAATGCTATTTAGTTTTACTTTGTTTACTTAAATTTACCAATCTTTAATTTCCAGGAGTCGAAACAACGAAAAACGTGGTCACTTATGGAAAAGACACAGCTGCCAAATGTGGAACACTGACTATTGGAGCTGGAGTGATTGCTGGTCAATTGAGTTTAGCTGCAACACTCGCATCAACATCTCTTCTCATTGATGGAGCTGGAAATGTAAAGAGCAAAACGGTGCAAGTCGTTGAATACTTCGAGGCAAAGATTTGGGAAGCTATTCAAGAAGCGTTCAGGGTTTTGCGGGTAAGTCTGAGAAGCTAAAAGTAAAGAAATAACCTCAAGTAAAGCATAAGGCCCTGGTGGTAACGGGATACGTGTAGGTGTAGCTCATTGGTAGAGCGTTCGCCCGGTAAGCGTCGCTGGTTCGAATCCCGGCTTTAATCATGTTTTGTATTCCCAGCCCCAACCCCATAAAAGCCTGTCCAACTCCAATGCAGTCAATAAAACCTTCATCAGCTTAATTTTCAGATCCCTTTCGATTTCGCGAACGAGAAATTTTTGGAAAGCGCCAATTCGATTTTGGATGCAGCGGGAGCGATTCTCGAAAAATCTCTTGGAATCCAAGTCCCGACTGGCGATGATTCTTCGTTGAAAGATCGGGTGAAAAGATTGGCTTTGAGCATGTACAATCTCCTCGTTCATAAGGTAAAATAGAAAAACTTAATGATAACTTGACGAGAATGATCTGAACAGCACTCTTTAGGCCCACAATCAAGTGATCGATCCAATCTCCGTTCAATTCCAATCGGCTTTCGAGACATTCAGCAAGAATTTGGCTCTACTTGATGTGGTTCGACAACAAGGGAAATGGGCAACGGGGAAAGTGCAAGATTCGATCTCGGATTTCAAGACAATGATTGAGACTGAGGCTGAGAAGTTGAGGTTCGGTATTTTGAGTTGCAATCAATCAGCAATGAAAAATACTAGACGATGCTCAAAAAGTACTTTTAGAATCAGTCCAGAGGACCTCTTGTTGAAGGGAATCCATTCGGCAAACCAGAATCTACAGCAGCGATTGATCACATTGAAAGAACAGGGAACACAATTGGGAGCCGGTGCCACCTTTGAGGGTTTCATCGAATACCTTCAAACATTCGAGCAATCCCTGGGACAAGCCGAGAGTTTGTACGCCATTCAAGAAGAGGTACGCTTATCAACTAAACACGCTAGTTATTGAGCTACTTTTTGGTTTGGCTACTTCTTCTGGGTTTTATCACCTAGCTACAGTAACCCTAAGCCTATGTGGATACAGTAGTAGTTCTACAGAAACCCATTCTGATTCGCTTTCTAATACAAATCTCTCCAGGTTCTCGAAGAAGTCCGGAAATACCTCGCCCGAGTGAAATCCCAATGGACGAATCTTCGAAGTGCCGCTTAATTTCTTTGGAAAAGCAAATTTTCCTACCTCACTTTACAAGTTGAAAAATTTCTCCGTATTTGGTCGATATTTATTGCTCAGTTTTGTGTTTGGGTGTATTGATGATAATAAATATGATTAGCACAATCTAACTGGCACCAAGATGTTAGTTTAATGAAGTCATGTTCAATGCTTCGCGAGAACGATGGGTTTGTCATTGGCAAGCAACCATCAGATGAATCGTATGTCAACTTCTTTTTCGATAGCATCTGCATTTAGATTGAAAGACGCGTTCGAGAAAGCTTTACAATTATACGGAACACCTGTGGAAGTTCAGCGAGAAGAAGGTAAAATACGAAAAGTTCAAAATAATCTAGGTCGTGCTTGACTACTTTCATTGACTAATAAAATTATATCCGGCTGCGACTGCATTCACGTTTCCGATGGCGTCAGGAGTTTGTAGAGTAACGTTAGCCAAAGAACCAACGCCGAACTGTCCATTCATCAGTAACACCTAAACCTAGGTCAATTTCCTCTCGTATACACAAAAGTGAAAATTTGCATACCCTCCATACAATTTGCCTAGTGCATACACTTTTTATAGTAGCCTTAAAGAGTAGAGCGTGTTTTAAAGAATAGAGCTCAAGTTTTCTAAAAGACATAATCCCTTTTCCGTAGTCAAAGCGGCTTTTTTCATTGAATCGAGCAATTTTTGGTGTCATTTGATGAGGAATCAATTACAAAACTCAATCAGTAAATCCCGTAAATCCTCAATTAGAGCCGCACTTTTGCGGATACCGAAAAATAAAGGATTTGCGGTAGCTCTCTAGGAAAGGATTACTTGGATTCTACAGTATTCAACAAAGACTCCTGTTCGGTCCCAGAATTTATACATTTGTGTACATCTACTTTGTTATCTATTTGTGGCCGAGGCAAGACCTGGATTCAGCTTATTTTGCCACCTCTTTGTTTACAACCAGGGAGTAGGGAAAGAGATCAGCCGAGTGCTTTCAGTACGAACTCAACAGCACCGAGTGTCGGCCGACTCCACTCACGAATAAAGATTTTGACGCTAAAAGTCCCCTTTTATACTTTTATATTCTTTGCAATGCTCAAGCAGAAATAGCAATCACAATGGACAAAATTTACATGGAAACTTTACATGGAAACTTAAGCTTTAAAATACATTACAAATTCATAGAGAACAATATACAGCTTCTAGTTCAATCTAAGGAATAAATATTGTGCATTATCCTACGTCATAATACCGCCTATACAAGTCCGCCTCCGGGCCGGGCACTAGTCGAACCATGGAGATTCTAAAACAATTTTGTAATATATAGTTTCATACATTAGAAAAAAACCATGCTAAAACATACTTAATATGGCTTATTCGATTACAGCAAACACGAAGCTCAACGACGTCCCCATTTGCTCTTTTTAAAGCGCGGACAGGACAGTAACCCTCGTCGGAGAGCAGTTTAACATCTTGCAATCCAGATAAGCTGTGCAAGAACTAAAAATTGAACAATTTTATCGGGCAAACTACCAATTGCTTTTCAATGTTTATCTAGGCTATCTAGACTAGAATAGTTAAGTCAATCTTGCAAATGTTTTAAAAACTGCATCCAAATTACTTTCAGCAGAATAAGAAAGTTAAGAGAGCTCACATTTTGACGTTCTGCTTCCCCGCCAACTGCTCGAAGGCCAATTTTATCAATTTGACGCCCTGAAGTGTACCAGCCTCGGATCATCGTTAAGATCCCATCAAGAGTACACCCGAAATTTGTTTGAAAATGACTGTAAAAAATCAAAGGAATTGAATCCAACAAGATCTAAACAATAAATATTATGCGGAGTAAGCGTCGTAACAAAAATTGTTCATTGACAGTTAAATCAAAACAAACCGTGTCATTTAATGGATCAATCATGGCATTCCCGTGACCAATCAGCCCAACTTCTTGCAATCCAATCGCATAATTATTGGTGAAAAAGTCTCTCGTAACAGGAAAAGTTTGGTTGTCCCCATACGCCTTAATCAGCCTAGTTTTGATCCGTTCCAATACATACTTACAGAAACAACTAGCTTGCGTGTTGGTCTTATACTGCGAAAAATATCCATGAATCTTTCCGGCGAAAGAGTCGTTCCACTGACAAAACAAGACAATTCTTCGCATTTGAACTTGCAATTTGCAAACATTTCCCAATTGACATTCCGCTAAAAGACAGATTTTAAGTACCATAAAATATTACGGAAAACTAACCAATTCGAGGGTGTTAAAGGTTGCACGCTCTTTCAAATTATCCAAATGTTGAGTTAAGTTAGCTGGATCAATCCTTTCCGCATATTGCAATCGATCATCTGCTCTATCGCTTATAAAAAGCCGAAACTAAAACCTATGTTTTTTGTGACTAACACAACAATATCTTACCCAGTTCCCATCAACATAAAGCTTATCGATATAAACACGAGGAAGTCTGGCTCTGTGCAGCTCGACCCTTCTATAGCAATCCCTTGAGAGTTGTCGAACAGTGCTAAAGCAGAGATTAAAGTTAGAAGATGAAGGCTGCTAACTTTTCGATGACCCGTGCAGGAAGTTTCTCCATTACAGCATAGAAAACGACATCAGGAAGTGCCTCAAGCAATATCCTATTGACAGAAGAGGTTGGCATGTGCTAAAATAAAACTTGTACGAAAAATCCACTGGAAAGCAATCACAAACTACATTATTTAAAACCAATTATGGTAAAACCTCTTACATTCAGTTGCTTCTTCTTAAAGTTTTCCATGATTTCCGAAGTACCTGTAGCTTTCTTCTTCTTGGCTGGCATTATCTTATCCATCGAAAACAAGAAGTGCAAGTCGTCCAACGTCAATGTATTCCCCCTAAAACTTTTATTGCAAACTGCAAAGACAACAAACAAGAATTTTAACACTTACTTTTCAGTTCGTCCTGATAAGATTCCTGATACTAGCTTCAACTTGTTTTCCCGTAGCTGCACTACTCGTTCCTCAATCGTTCCCTCGCAGTAAAATCTAAAGCTAGTTGAATTTGATGCATTATTACCAGCAAAGTCACTTGTGAATTTGAACCGCTTGCTTCTGCCCGTGGCAATGAATTTGGGAGCAGGCTTGCTCTTCGAGTTGGAGATTCCAGTGCGGCTCGACGATAATCATATTGGCGCCTACATCTACGGCATAAAAGAAAAAAATGCAACCAACAAGTCTGGATGTTCAACCCGGTGCCTCCCGAAGTGAGTGAAAGCAGGAGGACGGGCACCTGCTCCTCCATCACAAACGCATTGATGACTTCGCCTTTCTTGTCCCGATTGAGCGATCCGTCAAAGATAAGATATCGAATGTTGTCCTAAAGCTTGGGCATTGTACACGTAGACTAGAGTTTATTACCTCATTCAAATAAACGGCCAACAATCGCAGAACGCTCACGAATTGACTGACGACAACGACGTTGTCTCCCTTCTTCACAATGTCGTTAATCAATGCCATAACCTTTTGCAACTAAATTTAAAATGAAATAGATCCCAAAGGAAAAGCACAAACTTTCTTGCTTCTCACGCTGGCGTCGAATATGGTGTACTTGTTCTCGTCCTTGATTAAAGAAATGTCGCCATCAATATCCTTGGCTTCTGTTTCGTTTAAGGGCCCAAGCACTCCATCGAAAGCGTCCATCGATAAAGCCTAAAGTGAAAAATGTTATGGTAAAGCGTTTGTTAAGAAAATCCCACCAAACGTACCTCTTTAGCCAGACAGAAGTGGATCGCGGTTTGTTGAAGTTGTAGAAGCACGACCAGAATCACATGCATCATCATCTTTCCAATCTTTTCTTGTAAGGCTCTTTCAAAGACATTTGGAACATCTTGCGAACGCGTCGATCGTGGAAAATGGCCGCTTTTTTCGTCCAAGAGTTGCTTCACCTAAAAGCAGAGCAGATTAAAACGCTACAATGTCTAAGATGGTTTGAAAATACCTTTTGTTGTGATGCTAGCAGCATTAGATCATAGGCTTTCGACTCGTCTCCCTCCAGATGCACACGATGTATATAGTTTGTTCGGTCTGGAAGTCGTAAGATTGGTTTATCATGATGCAGCAAAAGAATTGTTCCGATCAGTGTGTCCAAACGATTTTGAGTAGCAGCTAAAAGAATCTGTTGAAAGTAGCTTTTTGAGTGTTACGTGTTTCGTCGCTCATCTTCTCTTCCCAAAAGCCGGGATCAGCAAAGGGCATGATTCGAAGAAACCTGAAACAGCGTTATTAAAAGCAACCACAAGTAAAACATACCTCACTAGTGCATAGAAGTGTAATGGTGTCCCCGTCAGAGCCCATCGGCAATCAGCTTCGATATCCATCACAGCACTGTTGATTTGAGTTGCCTAAACAGTCTAGTTACACCAGGTAATTCATAAATTCATAACGAAAACCAACCAAGTTTTTGATTGTGTGGGCTTCGTCGAGTATAACCCGCTTCCAAAAGACTTTGCGAATAGCGGCATGTTCGTTGAAAACAAGCTTAATTAAAAGCATTACCGTAAAAAAGAATGGTTCTTATGGGTTATACATCCGCAACGACTCAACTGGGAATACACATCCGCGAATTTGCATATCAAACAAATTTCCGTAAATTGCAAAACATATTTGTTGCAAACCAAATAGGTTTATACAATTACATGTGAAACATACATCCACAAATTAGAGATCTGGATCTATTATATAATTCCAGTTGAGCCGCTGTGGCTGTATAACCCATGAGTACCAAAAGCGTTGGATACATACCTTATTCCCTTGTGATTTCCTAATAACGTCGTTTCTCAAAATCTCGTAAGTCGTCAACACAACATCTGCCTGGCGTAACCTAAAAAGCTTTTAAGATGAAGTTTGTCAAAAACGTACACTTTATCGTCCAAATTGTCCCGGCTTTTTTTGGGGCCCGTGTGACAGTAAATCTTGAGTGGGTGATCTTCGTTAACCTAAAATTAACATACTTAATCTCGAAAAGACAAGTCACCTTGTCTTTCAGTTCTTGTTGCCATTGATTCAAAACCGAACCGGGAACGACCACCAAAGTGGAGAAAGTTCCCGTCATTTTTCTTCCAGAATCTTGACTAAAAGTAGAAATAAAGTCAGCAAACTTTTACAAACATACATTGCTTTGTTTACTAAACGCTTTTGATTTTCCTTGGCTATCTTGAGAAATTTCTTATTCTGTAATGCGATCAAAAACGAAGTGATGAGAGAAATCGCCGGTGTTGTTTTCCCAAGTCCCATCTCATCGGCTAGAAAGAAAAATATAACTATATACTGTATACAACGTTTATTAGTTACCCAAAATGCCTCCAGTGCTCGTTTCCTCACGCCATTTCATCCAATTAAGACCGTACTGTTGATATGGAAGCAATTGCACACTCATCCACTCCGGTGTTTCGGCGAGATCTTTATCAGGAACAGGCATTGAATCGAGTTGGCTGAAAATAATAATAGAGCATGAACTAGATTAACGGTTTATACCTCTGAAGTGAGCGGAAATAGTGTGCTTCCTTGTAGGGGGACCTCTAAACACAAAATTTTATAAGGCATTATTGAAATCGGTATAAGTTTTGCGCAATTAACCTCGCTTGAACTTAATTAAGGTAAGTGTCTTTCTAAAACTTTTAAAAAGTAAAAATCTGCTCACATTTTCCTTGTTGCTTTCCTTTGCCGAGTAGCAAATCTCCCCCTCATCGATGTCCTGTATCGACAACATGCTAAAGCTGGCGATTTCCTCGCCGCTCATTTTCTAAAGTTAAATAATAAATTTATATATAGATCAAACTGAAATTTGAATCAAGAAAACAAAACCACGTTACATAAACAAAAAAAGCATTATTTCGAGTCTATCATCTTATCCACTTGTTATCTACCGTACCAAATAGGATATTATCCAAGATATCCCCTTTAAGCCTACCGCTATCGGTTATCTACCGTACCGTTTCACCGGTTGCTTAACCTTAACTTAACATCATCCGATCCGGATACAGGGGAACCAAAAGAAATAGTCTTATGCAAGTATTTTTTAGAAAAGAATACCATATGAGAGCCCTTCATGAAGTCCAGAGACACTGTTCAGTTGCGTGTTTTTGACTGGGTATGCTTTTGGTGATCCTGGCTTTCCTGGCTCTTACTGGCCTTAAAAATAATTTTAATCATTTTGCAAAATTATAAAAAGCTTTGTCCGTGAGCGGCTTCGAACCAGGGAACAAAAATGCATAAGAGCACGCCCACACTAACCACTAGGCTATGAGCAAAAAAAAAGGCAAACGCCGGACTCGAACCCTCGAGTCCTTGCCTCGATACCAAGCCTACTGCCACCCGGCCACTACGACATCTTTTCCGCTCTGGTAAGTCAACTTATAAACTGTTTTCTGCGATTCCATACAAAACTTTGAGCGCTTATAACTTTTGACAGAGTGCTGCGTTGCAAAAACGGAAGCAGATTCGGAATCACCGCAAAATTCTACGTCGGTTAGTATATGGCTCATGTTATTTGGCCACCACACCCTGTTAACATTCCCTTGTAAGTAAGAACCTTTGATCTATTTGTGCAGCCATTTTTGGAACCCTTTTCGTCATTTGATTCATTTAGTCGGCGATGATTTGCTCAAATGGAATTTTTTCTAGTTGTTTTCTAAAAGTTTTCCAAATCCGAAAGCTTTCAAAAATAGTTCTCCTTCAAAAAAGAACAGTTGGTAATCTTTTAGGAGATTGTGTGAAGATGAGGGATTTCATGTCAATCATTTCTCGACATCTAAACTTTTCTCGAACCAAAAATCGAGCTTTTTATCCCAACTTTTTATTGTAAAGATGATTGCAAGTATTATTTTGTTGAAAAACTTATTCACCACTGATTTTGAATCTTTCAACTTTTTGAAATATTTTGAGTGTTTTATTTTCAGAGAGTCGAGTTTTACGAAGAAGTTTGAGCGTAACCCTAATCGAGTTTATGGGTCAAAACTCGCAAAAACGCGTGACCAATCAAAAGATTTCTTTCAGTTGAGTCAACTCAACAAAAAGGGATCTGTTAGTTATAAGTTGGGCTCTGATCTAGACTTTTAAAATCGAAATATCAATCAATTTGAGTATCATTAGGTTCACATAGAACAAGAAGTAAAAGTCCAGCAGCTCCCATTTTTGTAACCCGTTCTTGTCAATCTCATTCCACTCACGCACATCCGGTAGTTATTTCTTCTTCAAAAACTTCTCTAAACTATTTTAGATATTCTCGTATCCCCATAATTTTCGGGTTCCATATTCGGGAGTTTTCCCGTTCTCTAATCGTCGCGATTATCGTCTCTCTTCGAGCTCTCCCCTTATTTTTCTTTTGTTTCCACCCACCCACTCCTATTTTTGATTTTCTTTGTCGTCATCGCTGCTTTAATGCTACGAGATATAAATATTCTAGTTGACATGCGGTATCCAGTAGTTTTGAAGGACCTATTTTAGACATTAGTATAATGTAGGATTGATCTCGTAAGTAGCAATTGTCTTTATTGTTCGAGTTCTCTGTAGTGCGCGTTTGCGAAGTGAACTCCTCCTCTGATTGAGATTGACTACAAGACTACGAGTACTTTGTTCTTTCGAAAAATAAAAATACAGAACATTTGGCACATCCAATTGCTCATTCTGAATACATACTTGTTCGATAGACTCTGGGCCAAAGGAATTTACTTCGTAAACGTGCTCAATCTGGCGCACCACTGAGAACGCAGGATTTGCATCACTGCTCAATGTAGATAACTCTGATAGTCACTAAACATATAGTCTATTTTATTATTCTGTTAAAGGGAGATTGTATGTTAATGGTTTAAAACCTAAATTTATCCCCATTTTCGCCATAAATATTGGGGTGAATTGGGGATGGGAAATGGATTGAATGGGAGTTCAATGGAGAGTTGTTGTGTTGCTTATTACACTCATTGAAGAAAGAGAAAAGAAAGAGATAGACAAGGCAAGGAAAAGAAGACAGGTCAATCGGGGTCTCCTCTTTCACTCGGATTCCCCTTTTCCCTTTAGCTTTCCACCTTCATAGCTCATGGCTTTTCTTATCCATTCTGACAATTTCGATCGTGATCTATTCTTTGTTAACCTCTTTGCTTATAGAGCCATAACTTAATAATGAAGGACCAGATTACTTTAGATGACTAATCGAATAGTGCTTGGAATCGATGGAGCTGTTAGATCATTCTGTAGAGAGACTTCGTATTATTAGATTGGTGAATAAGTCTTTTCGTTCCTCTTTGTACTTCCGTTTAAAACCAATACAACAAGTTTCATAGCAAAATTTTAGTTATGACTTATAGATGTTCTAAGTACAATACCTAACAATGATCGTGGCCTTCCAAAATCACTCGAGGCAGCGTAGCTGAATTTTCCGGGGCCATGTTAAAGCGCTCAAAATTAGGCTAATGCTGAAAAATGGCTATGAAATTGGCCCTGGATGCATATTTTGAGGACAGCTAAATGAACAATTAAGCAAAGTGAACTATACCAACAATAAGTATTTCAAAACCTCCCACCCCATCCACCATCGTTTCCATAGATCAATGCCCATTGTCTCCCCTTTCCCCCTGACCCCTTCTTCCCTCCTTTATTCTTTTCCGGTCCATCTTCTGCTTATTTCATTTCTCCCTCGTCGTGACAACTAATGGCCAATTTGTTCTCTTTTTCCCATTCTTTCCTTTTTTGGCTTTCAGAATTCCCCCCGAACGCCCATTTTCCAGTTCAGTTCCTGCTTTTTGTTCGACTATTTCTATGAAATTTTTGCTTTTTTCGCCTTTTTCGCTTTTTTCGCTTTTTCTTTGCTTTGCACACATCATCAATGATTGTGAATAGTCAGCTGTGATTGCTAAAAAGTTGAGAAATGGGAAATCAAAGGGGAAAAAAACCACTTGAGTAAGCAAATAGTAATTGAAAACAAGATGTCAAATATTGTCAAGTGATGTCAACTCTTTGGCAAAGTTTACAAGTTTGAAAAATCGTAGATTAAAAAATGTTTTGATCGACTGAAACGTTCCTATAAATTCACAGATCACAGTCCAAATCAGAAAGTTCATTTTTCGATTGATAAATTTGTCTTAAATTTATGAATTTTCAGAGTGATTTTTGTATCTTATATTGACCGTTCGTTAATCTTTTAGGATAGATTTCAAGTTCAAAAGTTCCGTTAAGAAATTGGATCCTTGAAAGACATGATCAGTTAGAGAAAGGGGTGACTGACTCTGAAATTGAACTCCTTTCTCAATCTGATCTGCTGATCTGCTGATCCATGAACAAAAAATCAAAATTTCTACTATTTATAGTTTTTTCAGCTATTAGGCTGTCCAGAAAAACTAAAACATTTAGCCATCTGTACCATTGTTTAACCGACTTTCTGGACAGTCTAATCTACAGTCATGGACAAAAGTCTTTTAATGTTGGTTTTAAGAAGTTTGTTCTTTGTATATCTTGATCCAAATCCGACCAATTTGCAAACGGTTAAAGTTAAATTAAAATTAAAAGATTTAAAGAGCTTATTATATCTAATTTTAAGATTTAAGATATACAAAGAACAAACTTCTAGAAACCAACGTTAAAAGACTTTTGTCTATGACTGTATTTATAAGTTTTTCAACGATATCCTTTTCCCCATCTCCATCTTTTCCCATCTCCATCATTGCCTCAATGTTTCTCATTTATCTGTTCGTTGATTATCCATTAATCTCAGCTCAACAACTTCCTTGTTCTCAATTCTTTTTTTTTGTGTGAGCAATTAGTGTAAAAGATTTCTTCTCATTTTAAACCTACATTGAAACAAAATAATTTTAGAATCAATTAGAAAAATGGGCGAAACTTCCGACAGCAAAATCGATATCAAGGTTTGTTCAGATAAAAATACGGGGTCTAGTTTCTAGTATAAATTTGCCAAAAACAATTCAGCTAATAATATTGCAAAGCTTTTATTCATTTGATCCTCTTTAGGAATGTGACATGGGCGAATCGGAGCAGTTCATCTGTCTGGATATTGTGAAAACCGCTCAAAAACTCTACGAACTCGATAAAGTGAGTTAAAAATGTTCAAGAATATACTAGTTTTCTGCACTTTTTCAACAGAATTTTATCAAATTGACTACTTTTCAGGATGTGGCAGCTTTCTGTAAAGAGGAACTCGATAAACGTTTCGGTCCAACCTGGCATGTCATTGTGTGAGTTCCTAAACGTTTCTATACTCAAATTTGGGTAAACCATAGCTAGTTAGTGTCAATGTTGTATCACTTCAAATCCTAAAATGTTTCAAGAACTCTGAAAGCCGTTAGTTGTAGTTAAAGCTATAGTTATGGGTTAAGTGAAGCGCTTAAAGTCTAAAACGAAAGCCATCCCATATTGCTTGATGTTTTACTAAATAACAGTAGTGCTAAGTTTCTATTTAGAATAGAGACTAGAATTGAGCTAAAGTTAGGGACATAAGTTGTAGAGTAAAATATGAAACAGTAAGACTTTTAGGTTAACAAGCTTAATTTTTGAGCTTAGGTTCTGAGCTTTTGAGCTTGTACCCATTGTTAAACCCTTTTACTTGCAAATCCCATCTTTTTTAACTTTAAAATTTAGTGGGAAAAGCTTTGGCTCAAGAGTGAGCTACGAGATGAACAATTTCATTCTCGTTAAATGCAATCGAGTCAACGTGATGCTTTTCAAATGTGGTTATTAAAGAAATGAGAAAAATGAGAATCG